GGTATTAAAATTTTGTCCGATAATACATAGGCGTAGAACTTGATTTTTTAAATAATTGCACCTTTAAAAATTCTACGCCAATGGAAGAAAAGGAGTTTGAGTATGAAATTTAGATTGCGAAACTCATTTACTTTAAAAAAGGTACTCTTGATAAGACTCGATTACTCTCATGGTTTTGACGAAATTTGCATTTTAATAATTTTAGAACATAAACAATAATTATTAAAATACCGACTTTGTCAAAACCATGAGAGTAAATCGAGTGTTATCAAGGGTACTTTTTTGTAGTAAATGAGTACCCAATCCAAATTTCATGCTCAAACCCCTTTTCTGCCATTGGCGTAGAATTTTTAAAGGTGCAATTATTTAAAAAATCAAGTTCTACGCCTATGTATTATTATCGGACAAAATTTTATACGATGAAAAACATAAAAATGTACTTTTTTCATATCTTCTTCAACACCTCTAATCGAGACTTTTAACAAAAATACTCGATTCTTGCCATGTACGATTTTTTGAGGAATATTAATTATTTGCCTGCAATACGTATATGTACAAAAACATTTATTGTTGGTTTCCATAGTTTCATCTAAATAAAAATATTGTCAAGTTTTAACACCTTATCTATTGTTAATGATTGAAAGTGTTCTATCTGACTCAATAATTAAAAAACAAATGCGTGGTTTATTAATATGGCTGTACAATATACCAATGCAGAATATACCGATATGTTACTGACATTAGGATTTTGTGAAGGAAATGCTCGAGAGAGTGTCACGGTGTACTCTGAAAGGTTTTCAAATCGTCGTGTACCTAGCCACCCAACTTTTGCTGCTGTTGAGAAACGTCTTCGGGAGACCGGTTCCTTTGCTCCCAACACTGTTGATAATGGAAGAGAACGTTTTGTAAGGATTCCTGAAGTTGAAGAAGACATTTTAGAACGTGTTGAAGAAGATCCAGAATTAAGCACCAGACGAATTGGAAGGGAACTAGGAGTAAGTAAAGATGTCGTTCATAAAGTGCTTAGAGAACAATTGCTATATCCATACCATAAGAAGCCAGTACAAGAATTATTAGTCCATGATCCTCAAATTCGTTTGGGTTTTTGTCGATTTGTTAATATGCAAAGAGAAAGAGATCCAAACTTTGTCAAGAAGGTTCTCTTTACCGATGAAGCGGGTTTTACAAGAAGAGGTATAACTAATACCCATAATGAACATGTTTATGCCGTTGAAAAATCGCATGCAATAAAGGTAAACCATTTTCAGCACGAATTCAAAATTAATGTGTGGGCTGGAATAATTGGTAATTTCATTGTTGGTCCTGTCATACTTCCACGAAGATTAACTGGAGAAAATTATTTGGATTTTCTACAAAATACGTTGCCAGAATTGTTAGAAGATTTACCTCTCCAACTTCGGAGATATATGTGGTTTATGCAAGATGGAGCTCCACCACATTTTTCTTTAAACGTTAGAAACCACTTGAATGAACAATATCCACACAAATGGATAGGCAGAGGTAATGACGCACCTATAAACAGGCCACCACGTTCCACAGACCTAACAGCGATGGATTACTTTTTATGGGGACATCTGAAATCCACAGTTTACAGGGAACCTGTAGAAAATGAGGAACAACTCTGGCAACGTATTCAAGATGCAATAAACAATCTTAGAGGTGATGAAGAAGTTATGGAAAGGATACATTTTAATTTTCTTCGACGTATAAATCTTTGTATGCGTGAAAATGGTGAACATTTTGAACAATTTTTGTAAAATATCTATTTTGATTATGTTGTAAATAAATATTTTTGTGAAACCTATACACTCTAAATTATTAAAACAGAAATTTAGCGAAAACCATGAGAGTAATCGAGTCTTATCAAGAGTACCTTTTTTAAAGTTAATGAGTTGCGCAATCTAAATTTCATACTCAAACTCCTTTTCTTCCATTGGCGTAGAATTTTTAAAGGTGCAATTATTTAAAAAATCAAGTTCTACGCCTATGTATTATTATCGAACAAAATTTTAATACCATTTTTTTGCCACATAAAACTCTACCAATATGCCAAATTTCAGCAAAATCGCTTATGCTGTTTTAAATTTATATGGGAAAAACGATTTCAAAATTGTAACTTCAAGGCCCTCTGGAGCCCAAACGAAGCAACTTTGTACTAAGGTAATTTTACTTAAATCGACTTATTTTGGTCTAAGGAATATGTGGTATATTTTTGTAAAGACCTTTTACAGACACCCTGTATAAATCAATTAATTTTAATAGGTGTAGGGGAGAGTAGTACACAATGAAACGCAGTACACAATGAAACATTTCAATTATTTCGTTCAAATTTCGCGCAACACTGATGGCAGCGCAACCTAACGTACTGCTATGCCTACTGCCTAATTCAGTGTGTTTTGGCGGCTATACCGGTATTTTAGTGAGAGTTACTAAGAAAATTGTGTTTTTCGCACCTCAAAGCTTTTTTCTGGATATTGCTGTGGAAAGGTATGATATGTTTTCATGTTAATTTTATCTTCTGGTGGTGGTACATTTGCGATAAGGAGTTTATTAGCCGCATAACCTATAACTTTCAGATTGATTCAACGAGATTTTATACTGTTTTTTGCTCTTAGTATTAGCAAGTGCCTGGTGGTACACAATGAAATAGAAACAAGTGGTACACAATGATATATGTATCATTGTGTACCACATCGTGCCACATCAAAAAATGTTTTAAAACATTGTTCAGTAAAAGTGAAAATATTTTTTGCGGCGTGCAGACAAAGGTTGGAAAAATTTAGCCCTGACTGGAGTCATATGTTCAGACACTAACATACTGACATTTACTAGTACTAGCATCAAATTTTTTATTAGATTATTTAAGTATTATGTTGAACTATTACGATGTTATCTAATATCTAATCTAAAACAAGAGAGAAACTTTTACTCCAGAAAGCATGGCAGTTGCCGTGGCAGAAGTTCGTGACAAAGAAACATCATTAAGACAAGCTGCAGAGATATATAACGTCAAATTTACCACCCTCTGAAGATATGTTTTAAAGCAACGAGAAGACCCAAATGCAAAAATGGAGCCAAACTACTCCGTGAGAGCTGTTTTCACAAAGGACCAAGAAGAGTCATTATGCAGATATATAAAAAAATGCACTGAAATGGCATATGGACTGAACACAACAAAAGTAAAAAAACTTGCGTACGAGATGGCACATAGAAATAAAATAAATTGCTCTGAAAGCTGGAAAACTAACAAACGAGCTAGTGCAGATTGGCTGGGAACATTTATAAAAAGCGCTACATGTTTAAGTATTAGAAAGCCTGAAGCGTGCTCATTATCTCGCCTGACATCTTTCAACAGACATAATGTCGTTTTTTTTTTTTGAATCTGGAGACAATTTATAAAAAATATCCCGCAGCTGTGGAAGATATTAGAATTTATAACTTGGACGAAACGAGCACTACAATAGTCCAACAACCATAAAAAGATTAGCTCAAAAGGGAGTAAAGCAGCTTAATCAGTGCTCAAGTGCTAAGAGGGGAACTTTAGCGACGACAGTTGCTATTATTCGTGCTGATGGAACCTTTATACCGCCTGTTGTGTTTCCACGTAAGAATTTTAAGCAAATAATGTTAAATGGAGCCCCTCCAAATACATTAGGACTTGCAAATCCATCTGGCTGGATGACAGCAGAGTTTTTTCAAGAAGTACTTATGCATTTTATCAAGCACTCGAATGCTAGCTTGGAGAGACCATGCATTTAAATTTACGACAATTACGAGTCTCACGTTTCGTTAGAAATTGCGGAAACTGCAAAGTTAAATGGTGTAATAATTGTAACACTGTAGTAATAAATTACCGCCACTCGATAAAGCAGTATTTTCATCATTCAAAACATTTTACAATAGTGCAGTAGACTCTTGGCTTGTAAGTAATCCCGGAATTCCCATGACTTTATATCAGATTGCCAAATGCTTAGGAATTGCACATTTCAAAGCCATGAATCCAGAAAATATTATTTCCAACTTCAGAAGCACTGGTATATATCCGTTTAATCGAAATATTTTCTCTGATGTTGATTTTATGTCATTGTGGGTAACCGGCAGGCCACAAGAAGTTGAGGATGATGATGCTGAAGCCACTACGAGAACGAATTTTATCCTTATAACAGATAACGATAGTGCATTGGATAATAGTAATATTAGCGCCGATTCTACAGATGACGATAGTGCTCTCGACAACATTAATTACACCGATCCTTCAGATGTAACTGGAACACGTGCAGGTCCTTCTGGTGTCTAAGCTTCTTCAAAGACATCTAGCTTTCAAGAAAGTAATACCCATTTAGAACAGAGTGTTGAGAGTTCTATGGGAAACACGCCACTTAATCAATCCGATGATATCCCTCCCACAAAGGCATCATGTCCATTTATTTCACCGAAAGCGCAGCCTAGGAAAAACATTCGGAAGGGTAGAAAATCCAAAGCTAGCATAATTCTTACAAGCACTCTTGAACTTAAAGGCCCATCATATAAAACTGAAAGCAAGAAAACTCCTAAAGTAAAAATCTCCAAAGTTGTTAAAGAGAATATTTTTGAGTTAAGTGATATAAAACATAAAGTAATATGTCAAATACAGATTCAGATTCTGTGGAAATGGAATTACAGGATTCGTCCGATGATGAGATATCTGTCTGAACTACAATATTTTGACCCGGAGGAAGAGCAAAATGACGATGCGATATTGAATAATTATATTGATCCCAGAAAACTAAAAAAAGACTCGTTTGTGTTAATCGGGTTTCCAGAAAATATTCACTATGTTGCAAAAATATTGGAAAACTCCGAACATTCTGACGAATTAATAGTGTTATACCTCAGGAAAAGTGCCAAGATATTAGGTAGTTTTCATTTTCCTAATGTCCCCGATATATCCATGGCACTAAAGTCTGATATTGTTATGGTTTTGCCTGAACCAATTTGCACAGCAAATAAAAGGCTTTCTGCTTATTATATTGTATATTGTACGCTAGCTAGGCTGTTTGGTTATGGTTTGTGCAATATATGTTTTTAAAATATTATAACCATTTTTTGGAATTCATATTTGATTTTGTTCTTAAACATGAACATTTTTCTGGAGAAATATATGTCACGTTACTTTATTTACTGTTGTTTCAGTAGAAATAAATATTACTTTTGCAAAATTTTAGCGTTTTATTACACACTACAGGCAGTTCCATTGTGTACCATAGTCAGTTTCATTGTGTACTACAGTCAGTTTCATTCTGTACCATATAAGGTTACACAATGAATCAAATGCCGAGACGACAAAAAACACTGAAATTACTCTTTCTAATAAAACTGAAGCATTTATCTATTTTATCCGACTTTGCTAAACCTAAAGCTTTAGTTTAAAACATTTACGATCGGTAAGGGCTTAAACAGTCTTGCAAAAAAAAATTGAACCAAAAAACTGATCCATTGTGTACTACTCTCCCCTACACCTATATGTCATATCTATCAGGTGGAAGATAACAATTTATCTTACATGGAACTGATTAAGGACTTGAGTTCTATTATAATATCAATTTACTTTCAATTAAAGTACGGTGACAACAAAAATGATTGCGGCAGCTGAAAAGGTAAGAATTTTAAAAACATAATAACATCTTCGTATTACTGAGGCCCTCTGCCTAAAGGGTTTATTTTTAAAAAAAATTTAACATACATAGTGCGAACACAAAGTGTTACCCCCGTACTAACTTCTGTACGATAAAAAAAATAGTACAATATACATTGATTTAGTTTGGAATAAATTTAATACTTTATCCACCATGTATACCCACGCGAATTTTAGGACATTCTGTATAACAATATAATCATTTTAAAAATGTAAGTTGAAGAGAAATTGTATAACAATATTCCAAACAATAGGTAGATATATTAGGTTTTTGTTTCGTGAAGAAATGGAATATCATTATGAACAAAGCAATTTTGTCCAACAAGAAATACAAATAAATCGTTCAAAAGTATTTTGTACAAATAATCGATATTTATTTGAAACATAGAATCAATTTTAGTTACAGAGGCCCTTCATTTATACAAAAAAAAACATCGATTTAAAAATAAGCATAGGTATCTTCACAGTTTTAAATAAATGCCCTCAGTATTCATTATATAAAACTTTTAAAGTATCATTCTAAAATAAAATTCAATGGGAGTAAGACATTAAAATAAATTGTATTTCAGTTCGATGCAGATAAATCTGGCCACATAGAAATCAACGAATTAGTGGAAATGCTAAAAAGTGACGATGACGTACCTAAAATTATTAGCAAAAAAATATTCAAAGCAGCCGATCAAGACGGCAATGGTCTTTTAAATTATGATGAATTTGAGAAAATGGTACAAGATGAAAATTATAGTGAAGTTTTTTCCAGATATCTTAACATGTAAGTACTGAGAATTTAATTATTGGATTTATCAAACATTGATACCGTAAGCTTGAAATTTGCATATTCTTATCTGTGGAAGAGGTAAGGGTTTTTCTGCTGGTTTAAAATTAACCTTTTTGAAGAATTATCTGTCAAAGCTGGTAAAGTGATTGTATAACAATGATGCCATTATGTGCCGGTAAATACGGAAACGTTTTAGTTGCCATGTGCCAGCTTAAATATTGGTTTACCAACAGTCGTGTGTTTTAAACCATCAAAGATGTCTTCGACCAATTATATTTCTGCCTCGTCTCGTAAATAAGATATATTGTCGACCCCTGTATATGCTTCGATTCGACCACATAGTTGAAAGCTGGAACTATTTGATATATTCCCTTCTCCACCAATCCCCTTATCCCAACACTTTGCTTCAGTCTTTGTTTATGTGCCGTAAAGATCACATCTATATTATATATCCTAGTAAATTCAAAAACAAAAGTGTACCGATGACTAAACTTCATAATAAACATTAAAAAAAAAAGTCGATACAGCGTTCTCCGCGTTTAGAACGTGTTGTATAGATGGTTTAGCCAGAAATTCTCCGATTAAATCTACAAAGTTTTTGTTTTGTTAAGCAATTTTCCCGTCATATCAACAATAAAGTTATTGTGTCATTGAAAACGGTAAGTAATTGCCTTAATGCCGAAAATTAATACGTATTTTATTTGTACGATTTTTTTCACTGCTAAATAGCTAGGTATTGAACGAAAATTTTTAGTATTTTTTATGATACCTACTGGTAAAAGTTCGTTTCTTCTTTACCATTTTAAATTCTAGTGTGTAGTAATTTCTTTGCGAAAGTAGTTGTTATTGGCCTTTTTTTATAGGCTTAAGGTAAAGAAATTTTAAATGAAAATAGATATACATTGAAACTTGAAATATTTGTTTTTTGCAGTAGATAATGTTTATACTACTGTTGCTTATAGGTATAACAAAATTGTTTTCTGACGACCGTTCTATTTTTATCCTTTATTAAATAATTGAACGATTAATGACATCATTAGACACACTGTAATTGACAATAAATTTATATCGTTTACTGTTTGTGATAATAGTAGGTATTGAAATTTTACTTATGACTTTATAATCGAATATTTTCCTACACTGTTTGTGATAACAGTAAATAATAGCAGGTTACTCTCTGTAATGACAGTAGATATTTTCAGGTCATTGTTTCTGATAAAAGTAGATAAAAGTAGGTTTCTTTTTGTAATAATAGTAGATTATTGAGATTTTAACTTAACTGATGACATTATAATCGAATATTTTCCTACACTGTTTGTGATAACAGTAGTTTATTGTTTGTAATAATAGTAAATATTGAGATTTTAACTTAACTGATGACATTATATATCGAATATTTTCCTGCACTGTTTGTGATAACAGTAAATAATAGCAGGTTTACTGTCTGTGATGACAGTAGATATTTAAAGTTTACTGTTTGTGATAACAGTAGATATCAACAGCTAACTGTTTGTGATAACAGTGGAAATCAATGGCTGACTGTTTGTGATAACAGTAGGTATCAATGGTTGACTGTTTGTGATAACAGTAGATATCAACAGCTAACTGTTTGTGATAACAGTAGAAATCAATGGTTGACTGTTTGTGATAACAGTAGATATCAATGGCTGACTGTTTGTGATAACAGTAGATTTCAATGACTGACTGTTTGTGATAACAATAGATATCAATGGCTGACTGTTTGTGATAGATTTTGAAATAAAAATTTCAAATAGATTTTCCTAAAAGTTGTAATTTTGCTAGTACTACAGTGAAATTTACACTTATCAATCTTGTTACATAATTTAGTGATCCATATTGATCTTTTCGTTCCAGATATATTAGATACGTTTTGCCGAGAAAAAAAGCTGCTCTGTTACAAGCAGATTCATCGATACCAGATGGTATCTACGAAGACAAATACTCTTTTTGGCCTCCCCCCGTGGCTCTTATACTAATTACAGCATTAGAAATTACGTTTTTCATAATAGATGAGGTGTCTAAGGATACTGCTTCGTACGATGATGGACGTATGTCCAATATTTTAATTTATCATCCTTATAAGCGGCAGGAAGCTTGGCGATTTTTCACATATATGTTCGTACATATAGGGTAAGTTAAGTAGATAATTATAATTAGATAACCTTAATTATTAAGAGTCGCTTTACAGTTTGCAAACAAGATTACAAAAAGGGCGCCAACCTAAATCACTAAGGGGACAGGTTCGCTAATATACAAAGCAAACTAGGGACACGTACCATTTAATAATTAAATAAAACATACCTACATCATTAATATTTTTGTCATTCTTTCATATTCCAGTTATTAGTTAGGTTATGTTTTTAAATAGTTCGTAGGAAACTTTAACATTTACAAATTAGGTACCTAATTTAGCAAACTTATGCCGTTCAGATGTCACAGAAGGCTGAAGAAGAAATAATAATAATAAGTAGATAGACAGAGCTGACATGGCCTCACATAGGGAATTCAATGTGAAAGAGTAAGAGGTACAAATGCAGTAGGTAAGAGTGAGACAGAGTGAGGGGAAGCGAGGGAGTGGGGAGAATTTAATCTCTTTTAACGTCGAACAAAAAAATCATGGGATTGCCAGAAGGGCCTAAGCGTGTATCTTTGTTATTGTTGGTCCGATTCAAACGGAAAAAACGGCGTTATGTAGAGAACGCGATTTAGATTAACGTCGAACAGAAAAATCATGCGCAGAACGAAAACCCAGAAGGACCTTAGCGTGTTTCTCGGATATTCCGGTCGGATTCAAACGGGAAAAACGACATTATGTAGATAATTCGGTATAGATTAACGTTAAAGAGAAAAATCGACATTTCGATTATCTTTTCGTTTGACGTTTTCGTTTGACATTTTCGTTTGACGTTTTCGTTTGAAGTTTCGTTTGACGTTTTCGTTTGACGTTTTTATTTGTCGTTTTCTATTGACGTTTTTGTTTGACGTTTCGTACTTCAACTAAACTAACTACTGCTACAGCCAGGTTGGTCGAGCGGTCTAACGTAAGTCCATCCCCCGAATAGTCAGTATTGAGATGTCTAGCGAAGAGAATAGACAATAAAATTTCAAAATGCGTTTCAATATTCAAAAGACAAAGTGACAGACCAGCAACAACCTGAGATGAAAATATTAATAACATTCTAGGAAAAGGAGGGACAGATAGAAAATAAGCAAGCACATTGGCAAGAGACAAAGAGAAATGGCGAAAATTTGTATAAGAGAAATAACATTTTTACCCTACACCTAACGATAGATGAGCTTTAAATTATTATGTTCACAAAGCAACTTCAAATATTTACCTACTTGTATATCTTTAAACATAGAAACGTCAATGTCAATTCTCAATTCGGAGAAAAAGTATAGAGTTGGACAATATCGTGATATTTAAAACGCACTGCTGAGAACCGTTACAGTCAGAGCTGTCACAATTACCATTCCAAAGTAATTGATACCAATTGCAAATTACTAATTACTTTAGTTTTTCAAAAGTGCTTGCAATTATCAATTAGATACTCATAAAAGGAATTGAAAATATTCAATTATAATAATTCAATTGCTTTTGCTAGTAATCTAGTTACTTTAGCTGCGTCAAAGACCTTTAAAGTAATTGAATTAATTTTAATTGAATTACCGATAAGTTATTAAATTACCGAAAAATAATTAAAAATTTTTCATCAGTTAATTTAATAAAAGCCTATAATAATATAAGCATTAATGATTTCTGCAAAAGAAAATAACCTTTCTACCGGGGCCGATGTTGAATTTAAAAAATAAACATCTCATGACAGAGTAATTATTTTGAGCAGTAATTTCTGTGTTTCAATCATTAAGGTATTGAAACATTTCCAATTCAACTTTTTTCTTATTACTAGGTTTCGTTGTTGCAGCTGGTGAATCATTTAGTTCAAAGAAATCATATAATTTTGTCTGAATAATTCAAGCCGCATTCGAATATATTCAAAAATAAAAAAGTTACGCCAAAACTAGTGAAAACTGCATAATATAAGCCTCTTAATATTCATAAAAGCCAACCACAAATAAATAGAAAGCAGTAACGCACTACAGTTTTCTACAATTTTTAAATGGGAATTGAATATTTTGTGGTAATTGAAATACAATAAATGAATTGAATTACTCCATAGTACTTAAATTACTAAAAAGGAATTGAATTGTTCAAAAAATAATTCAATTACTCAAATATCTTTAAAGTAATTACCAATTACAATTGCTTTCTAGAAAGAATTACAATTACTTTCTAGAAAGTAATTGAAGTACTAATTAATTCTAAGGTTTTAAAAACCTAATGGAATTAATGTAATCCAATTACTTAAATGTAATTTAATTACATTTTCAACTCTTTTAATTCAAATTATTTGACAGCTCTGGTTACAGTGATTAATAAAAGTCAAGAAAGGACAATTGCAAACTGTAGTAAGTGGCTCTAATAAATCTTACATTAAAACATGCATTCATCTGTCATTATCTACAGAAAATAAAGTCCGCCCTATCCATTTTCTAGTAGTAGTATATTTTTTCTAGATACATGCATTTGGTTATTAATTTGTCGGTACAACTATGTTTGGGAGTACCTTTAGAGATGGTACACAAATGGAAAAGAATATTGGTCGTATACTTTTCAGGCGTCATTGCCGGATCTCTCTGCACTTCAGTGGTAGACCCAACAACGTTTCTAGCAGGTGCCAGTGGCGGGGTGTATGCTCTCTTAACAGCACATATCGGAACAATTTGTATGGTAGGTAAATATTAATTTACTCATTTAAAAAATTTTAATCTATTATGTCACAGGTTTTTGATATCGCAATTTATTTCAACTCAACTTTAACAACAACTATACAACTGATAACATTAACATGTAACGTCTATCATAAAACTGAAAACTGACGTCAGGATCATCCTTGTATAGCTTGCTTGACCCTTCTCGAACTGTCGTCTAGAATATTCTTGACAAGTAATGACATTTCCATACATTTCTGGACTATTCTATCTTCTTTTACTTGTACTTCTACTTATGACGACCGTAGCACACCGTAGGACTATGAGTAACATTCCACTTCTTTTTCTATCTGTACGTTTCCTATAATAGCCGCAGGCTACTGCAGGGTGCTGCGTAACACTATAATCAAAATGTTATTCACATTACTTCATTTTCTTAATGCCTCTTTGTCGCACTGGTTGTATTTTATGTGCCAAAAGAAAGGACATTGAAAACTAAAGCTTTAAATTTATACAGTGTGTCCATAAAATAACGTATAAGTTCATTATTAGCTAAATAAACAATACTATTAAAAATTCCCGAAATAGGTTGATTTTGGATTCTGTTTTACTGTTTTTCAAAATAATAATCTTTTATACAGGGAACTACTATCGTGTAATCACCATTTTTTTAAATTGAACACTCCATTTTTTCAATTTTCGAATTTCCGTTACTGAACACATTCCAAAAATGTATCACACATTGGTTCAAATTAGTACAGGGTGGGCAAAAATACAAAAATTACAAGTTACTTGCAAAATAAGAAATAAACATTAAACGTAATAAACAAATTAAATGAAATTCCGTATTGTTTATACGACTATTTTGATAAACTATTAAAAAACACCCAGTATATTTTTAAACATTGTATCTAACAGATTTTATTCGTGCTGTTAGCGCCTCGACTATACCGTTTTTTTTTTATTTGACATTAAAAACTGTAATGTTTATTTATTTTAAAACAATTTATTTACACAATACACTTAAATAATATATCAACACCATTAATTTATACAGTGTGTCCACCAAAGTTCGAAGCATATGGGAAACTTTTTATTATTAACTTTACGAAAAAAAGTTATTCTTTATAAAAGTTCTGCATGGTCTGAAACCTAAAATGCAACCATCAGATATCAAAATTTTAGAATAGTAATCGAGGTATGTCAAATAATATTAATCTCGTATATACGACTGATAAAATTTTATATATTATGACGGTTGTATTTTAGGTTTTAGACCATGCTCGACTTTTTATAAAGAATAACTTTTTTCCTAATATTAATAATATGCCGTCAACTTACGTAGACAGTTGATGGTATACTAATTTTAGAAAAAAAAAGTAATTGTAACCTCGTAATATCAGCCATGTGACAATGAAGCACATGGCTGATGTTACACGTCCAACGACATTGTAATTTTTGTATTTTTACAGATATGCAGACGCCACTGCGTATATCATACAGTCGGTTTCAAGAACGTTCATTTAAAGTTCTGTTCCAACAACAATCAGAAACCACGTCACTGACTCCAGGATTCTGCGCAGTATATAATTTGGCGGTCGAAATAATCAACTGCGCAGAATCTTGGTGTCAGTGACTGGTTTCTGATGTATGTTGGAACATACCTTAAATTTACTAGCCTGATAAACTTTGACAGACGTTTAGACGATGAATAAGTTTAGGTTCATGTAACTTTCAAACTCTATCAAGTTTTTTGGGCTCATACATTTTAATGGACCCTCTTGTAATCGGCTTCTAAAGTTCAATGTTTTTGTTCGTTGCTCATATTGTATCTTTACTCGCATGTTTTCTTTTTCTGCAATTGTTTTGAGCAAACGTTTGCAAACGGCTCTTGCCTTAGTCTTATATGCTCTAAGGCTTTTGCTTATTTTTCAATTGCGCATACTAAGTGTTGCCAACATAGTAGATAGAAAAAAAGAGAAGCTGGTCCAGTACTTCCAAAAGTTACCGCTAGATGGCGCCACTTGTCAGTGTGGAGGCGATTGGATAAATGGTTAACGTTGAAGAGAAAAAATCTCCCTCAGTAGCAAAGCCAAAAGGATTTAAGTCTATATCTTGGCTGTTATTGGGCCGATTCATACAGGAAAAACGGTGTTTCGAGGGAGACGTGACGTAGTTTAACGTTAAGAAAGGATCACGCACAGTAGCAAAACTAAAAGTACCAAAGTCTTATATTTTAGCTGAATCGGCCCAATAACAGCCGATATATATAGACTTAGGCCCTTTTGGCTTTGCCAATGCGCATGATCTTTTTCTTCTTGCATTTCTTCCCGTTTTAATCTGACCAATAATAGCCCAAATATAGACTAAGGTCCTTTTGACATTGCTGCGCGTATTTTTATCTTCAACGTTAATCTACACTCATTACGTAAACGATAGCCGTGATATTGGATCACTTAGCTGAGTCTCAAACCACTTATCCACGTTTTAATTATTAACACTGACCGGTGGCGCCATTTACCGGTGACGCCATTTACCGGTGACTTTTGGAAGTAGTGGGCCAGCTCTCTCTTTGTCTATCTACCCAACATGGTGTCTTGTCTAATTTTATTGTGGGAAAAAGGTAAGAGTTTGTTTAATAAGTATATGAAATAACGCAATGATATATTATCCCACATAAAACTAACAATTTAATGTGGGATTAATTTTATGCGGAATTAATTTTATGCAAAATTAATTATCTGTGACATTTGAATTAGGCTACTATCTCAAAGAATTTTAATGTAAACCGGAGCCCGAAGAATGATTCCAAACCCGGGTCAATGATAATAATGTTGGCAACCCTACTCATGCTCTTGTGATATGTTTCCCTATTTTTCGCCCTGTATATTAATCATTGTCGACCTATTTGTGTTATGTTTCCCTATTTTCCGCTCTCTATATTATTCATTGTCGTTGTCATTACTATGATGGTGGGTGGGTTTTTTTCGGGTTTTCCTCACCTGTAAGTCAAATGGCACCATTCATCATCTTTAGTCGCCCCAGAGCGCCACGGCAAATAATAATAGCCATCCCTTCCCCCACACAAGCTAAGCTTTTGGGGTTAAAATTCACTCGTAAGGGGATGAATTAGGGAGAGTATTATTATTATTATTATTATTTTATTATTCGTTTGTTAGTTTAATTCATTTTGTATGCATTATTTTATGTTGAATGAAGCCATTTATTCTGGTTTCTCATTACATGCTCCTAACTATTAGAAATGTCCGCAGAAACCAATCAATTTTGTTTTCAGAATTGGCGTGAAATGGAGTTCCCCATAATTCAATTGCTCGTTTTTCTGGCAATCGTCTCAATGGACGTCGGTACGTCAATCTACAACCGTTACTTCTTGCACCTTGAAGAAAACATCGGGTATGCCGCTCATTTCGGAGGCGCCTTAGCAGGTCTACTAGTCGGCATATGGAATTTGAAAAATTTCGCTCCCACCAAACGAGAAACGTACGTTTGGTGGTGCGCTTTGACTATTTATGTTATGTTTATGGGCACCATGATACTCATGAACATCGTATGGAAGGAACACTTTTTACCCAATAGATGAATGTAGGCCTAGTGACAGATGTCATGTTAGACGTCAGATCTTCTAAAATATCGTATATATCAAAATTAGGGTATGATCAATCAGTATTTGATAAGATGTCAAAATTTACTGACACATATAATTTTCTTTTGTACCTATCGAAATAACTTTTATGCGTATTTGTCAAAACTTCAAGATTTATTGACAGATGACAATTTTACGTCAAATTTTAGTGACACATGACATTATAAAGCTAAAATTTGATCTTCTGAAATATTGTTTACATATTTTTTATATGTATATCTCAAAAAGCAAAATTACTTTGACCTTTCTGGATTTATCGAAAAAACTTTTATGCATATTTGTCAAAACTTCAAGATTTATTGACAGATGTGTAGGTTTTGGTATATGAGTTAGACGTCTCGCTATAAGAATAAAAATTTATTTAGACCTCAAAAAAGTAGAAAATTAAAATGTATTGACAGTTTTCTTCGTCAGTACTTGTCGTCGTCTTGTTTCTTATTTTGTTTTTTTTTCTTCATGCGCTAGTTCAGTGTGATGTCATTTTGGTTCCACTGACATTTAATTCTAACCAAACTTTTAACAAAAACATCAATAAATTTGACATATACGTTTCTACTGTTTTTATTTTATTTCAAAATATTGTTTACAGGTCATAAAAAATAGTTTAAAGGTATGTAATTGGTAACTAAACGAGTGTATATTTGATACATGCTATCTACTTAGTTTAGGAATATATTTATAAAAGTGAAAAAAACGATATAATTTAGGTAAACAAAACGCACTCAAAAAATCTACGGTCACTTTAATTGTCAGTGGAACCATAATTACATCATCACTGAACTAGCGCATTTCTTTTTCGTTTCCATAAAAACTCCATGACCACGCTCGTTAAGGCTCGACCAATCAAGGCCCACCTCAAAAGACGTCGAGCCGATATATCTACCTAAGGCTTAACAACGTTATGACCATGACATCCGCATCGACGCTTGACCAACCTCAAATACAAAAGACTTAAAATTATTAAAATGAAATGACAAATATGTCAAAACTAAAAGAAGGTAAGGTTATGTGGGGAACATGATGTCGCCACAAGATGTCAATTTTATGTAAAATTTTAGTGACACATGACATTATAAAGTTAAAATTGGATCTTTTAAAACATTGTTTACATATTTTTTATATATATCTCAAAAATCAAAATTACTTTGACCTTTCTGAATTTGTCGAAACGCTAAAAATACCCAACATGTTATTTTGAGGTTTTTGATGTTATGTTGAAAATGGGGTGAGGTTTTTCCATTAATTTCAGATATTTAAACGCATTTAGAGACGTTATTATTAAGATCCACACATGTATATTTTTTCCTACTTTTATAACAGAGTTAACATAATAATCATGCCACGTCAAACTTTACTGACATTTTGACGTAACAGATTGACACGTGTAATGTCAAAACTGACTGACACATGTCACGTTGACATTAGTGTTCTGTTAGTCTAAATTAATGACAGATACTCCTAAAAATGTCAAAAAGACTTTAAAGTAAAAGACTGGTTTAAAATAATTGTACCAAAGTATTTATTATAGCTATAAGATAGTAAAATGTAAATAAAACTCAATATTATTATATTTATATTAATAAACTTTTTATTGTATCAAAATAGTTTTTTATTCCTAATATAATTATTAAAATAACAAATTAATAGTTTAGGTATTATCACAATTTCGTGAAAACTAGGAAGACATAAATTATTATTTTATCACTTAATTACTATTTTTCAAAAGATTTGATAAAAATCAAACTGGCAAAACACGTAAGTAGGTGAAGGCCAATTGCAATTTAGAAAATTAAATACGTCAAATCTTGTGAAAATAACACTTTTAGTATACTTACATATATACAATAAAAAAACAGTTTTAACATTTAAAATAAAATAAAAATCATGACTTAATTAAAAATAAAAAATTCAATGCAACTGCCGTAATAATCTCTTCATATAAAATACCCGCCTAAAATGCCATTTGCACCTCAAGAAGTAAATAGATCAGGCTAATACGTCAAAATAGCCAAACAACATGAAATGGATTAGTTTAGGAAGCTAATATTAGGCATTTGTTTATAAGAACAAATTATTTTCTGTCAAAACTGTCATTAGACTTTTCGAAGTGATGAATTTTGACAGCACAAATGTTACCAAATGTCAAAAATAAGAAAAGGCGCAATGACTTTTTCGGAGCGCTAAACGAAACAAAATCGTACTTTTTTATGAAATGGAAATATTTAAGACAAGAAAAAACACCAATTTCACGGAAAGTGAAAAAATAGTAATAGTAATACAATTTTTTCTGGTAACACAGTCATTAGACTTTTAGACGTTTGTAATGTTTTGAAGCGATAAATTTTGACAGCGCTAATGTCATCGACTGTCAAAAACAAAGAGATTCCAACGATTTTTTAGTTACAAAATCACTGTGTTCTAAAAGGAACAAAATGGACTCACTCATGGAATATGAATGTTTAAAATACACGAATAAAATACATATTAGCTAAAATGTCAAAACTGTCATTAGACCCTTTGACATTCATGATGTTTTCGTTTGATTAATTTTGACAGCACAAATATCACCAATTGTCAAAAACAAGAAAAGGTACAAAAAGCTTTTTCATTACAAAATTTCGGTGAGTTAAAAGAAACAAAATGTAATTTTTATGGAATGAGAATATTTAGACAAGGAAAACCACCTCCTAACCACAGACCTTCAAGGAAAAAATAAAGATTAAATTTATTAAAAATATATTTGTCCAGTTTTTTCTGTCAAAACTGCCATTAGACTTTTTGACGTTTGTGATGTTTTGAAGTGATGATTTTTGACAGAGCAAATGTCACCGACTGTTAAAAACAAAAAGGTGCAAACAGCTTTTTAGTTACAGAATCTCGGTGTGCTAAAAGGAACAAAATGGACCCCTTTCATGGAATGTGAATGTTTAAAATACTCATATAAAATATATATTGTATACCAGCCTTGTGGTACTTTGTACTTATTTGTCTGGAATTAATATAATTTCTTCATCAACTTCCGAATCAGTGGCATCTTGCGGGTAATCTATATTTTCCTCCTCTTCTTCGTCCTCATCGTCTTCATCATAGTAAGGCCGCAGGAGAGGTTTTTCTAGGTTAGAAAATAGTTGTTAATATGAAATATTATTGTTATCTCAAAACTACTATAATAAAAATCAATAACCGCAGGAAATAGAAGATTTATTGTTAAAAAATACTTACTCAGAGGCGTTCTAAAGATTTCACGTTCTTTCGAATCCACCGTCAAATCGTACTTAAAATCCTCATAAAAACTCTGCTGAGATATGAGCCCGTATTCGTTCTTCTTTCTACAAGCCACATAGCAAGCCATACCTAACCCCAGTATCCCGGCGCAAATAAAACCTAAACAGAAACAAATAAAATACAAAATTATTAATATAAATAAAGATATACCTATTATGAACACGAACGGCAGCCTCGGGATGCCGTAGAACGAAGAATCAATTCTTAGTTTCACCATAACGACTTTGGGAAAGTTGGTGATGTCATTTAAGTAGACTAATTTGACGTTCGGGTGATAGCCTCTGGCTTCGTATCTGACGGTATAGTTTCCCGGCGATAAAGCTACGCCATATTTGCCAGTTTTATCGGCGTACACGCTAATGTTTTTCTCTAGGACCGTTATCGATGCTTCTGGAATTGGATGATCGGAATAATCTTGAACGTAGCCTAAAATGAGATTAAAAAGGTTGGAGGACAATTATGCGACAAAGTTTTAAATCGAGACACGTCGCATGAACGTCTTTGTCTCAAAAGGGACCAAGTCAGATTTGCAAAAATTAAAATTATAACTTTACTATCACATAATTCAAAAACCAGTAAAGATATTCAATTGCTGTCTGTAACGAAATGTTTCTACAACTTTCACAAATATTTCTTCCCAAGTCTAGCTTTTTATAGACCATTGGTTTAAATATGGTAAATTTATAAAGACAACCATGTCACACTCTGGAAAATGCAAATTTCTAATTTACTATCACATAATGCAAAAACCAGTAAAGATATTCAATTGCTGGCTTCAACAACATTTTTCTACAACTATCACTAACATTTTTGCCAAATTTTCGATTTTTTCAACAATTACTTTTCGTGCGATATATTTATAAAGTCGACAACGTCATATTCGTAAAAATGGCAGTTTCAACTTTACTATGTCATAATTCAAAAACCGGTAAAGATATTTCAATGCTGTTTTCAACAAAATGTTTCTACAACTATCACGAATATTTATGCTCAATTTTAGATTTTTTCAACAGTTGGTTTTCGTGTGATAAATCTATATAGACGACCATGTCGTATTCGGAAAAATGCCGGTTTCAACTTTACTATGTCATAATTGATAAACTAGAAAAGATATTCAATTACTGTTCGGAACAAAAAGGTTTCTACAACTTTCACACATATTTCATTCCAATTTTATCTTTTTAGGCTATTGGTTTTCATGTAGTAAATTTATAAAGACGACCATGTCACATTCGTTAAAATGTCAGTTTCAACTTCACTATTACAAAATTCAAAAACAAGTAAAGATATTGAATGCTGGCTTCACTAAAATGTTTCTACAACTTTCACAAATATTGTTTCCCAATTTTATCTTTTTTAGACTATTGGTTTTCATGTGGTAAATTTATAAAAACGGCCATGTCACATTCGTTAAAATGTCAGTTTCAACTTTAATATCTCGTATTTCAAATATCACTAAAGATATTCAATTGCGGTCTTCAACAAAATATTTCTACATCTTTCACAAATATTTCTTTCCAATTTTAGCTTTTTTAGACTATTGGTTTTCATGTAATAAATTTATAAAGACGACCATGTCAAATTAGTTCAAATGCCAGTTTCAACTTCATTATTACATCATTCAAAAACAAGTAAAGATATTGAATTGCTGGCTCCACTAAAATGTTTCTACGACTTTTACAAATATTGTTTCCCAATTTTATCTATTTTAGACTATTGATTTTCATGTGGTAAATTTATAAAGACGGCCAATGTCACATTCGTTAAAATGTCAGTTTCCACTTTAATATCTCGTAATTCAAATATCACTAAAGATATTCAATTGCTGTCTTCAACAAAATATTTCTACATCATTCACAAATATTTCTTTCCAATTTTAGCTTTTTTAGATTATTGGTTTTCGTGTGGTAAATTTATAAAGACGACCATGTTAAATTAGTTCAAATACCAGTCTCAACTTCACTATTACATAATTCAAAACAAATAAAGATATTGAATTGCTGGCTCCAATAAAATGTTTCTACAACTTTCACAAATATTTCTTTCCAATAGTCTATTGGTTTTCATGTAATAATTTATAAAGACGACCATGTCAAATTAGTTAAAATGCCAGTCTCAACTTCACTATCACATAATTCAAAAACCAGTAAAGATATTGAATTAGTGAATATTTTGTTGAATATTTCTACAACTGCCCAATTTTCGATTTTTATAGAATTGATCTTCGGTAGAAGTACTAGTTTCAACTTTACTATCTCATAATTTGAAAACCAGTAAAGATATTGAATTGCTGGCTTCAGCAAAATGTTCCTACAGCTGTCAAGAATGTGTCTTCACAACTTTAGCTTCTTTATACAATTGGTTTTCGTATGGTAGAATTATTAAGACGACCTTGCACATTCGCAAAAATGTCAGTTTTAATTTTACAGTTTCATAATTCAAAAGCCAGTAAATATATTAAATTGCTGTATTCAACAAAATGATTTTACAACTATAACAAATATGTTTTTCCAATTTTATATTCTTTAGACCATTTCGACTTTACTATCTTATAATTCAAAAACCAGTAAAGATATTTAATTGCTGTCTTCAACAAAATGTTTCTCAAACTTTCACAAATATTTTTTCCCAATTTTACCTTCTTGCAATAATTGGTTTTCGTATGATAAAATTATAAAAACGACCATGTCAAATTCGCAAAAATGCCAGTTTCAACATTACTATGTTATAATTGAAAAACCAGTAAAGATATTAAATTGCTGTTTTCATCAAAATGTTTCTACAACTTTTACGAATATTTTTTTCCAAATTTTAGCATATTTAAACAATGGTTTTGAATGAAAGTGAAATATCAATTTCGGTCGATTTCAAGTGATCAACAACAAATAAACAAACAGCAAAGATATGCCTTAAAAAACAGTATCAGTTATTAAAACTGTAGCCATCACTCACCTCTGATTCCAGTAGATATTCCTCCAGAAAAGGGGTGGCGCAAGCTATTCTTTCCCAACGCTTCAACGCCAGCAGGAGTATGAACGATAGACCCAGGATATACTTCTGGAGCCAACCCTTCTTTAGTAAGCACCACTTTAAGTTTAACAATATTTTCCTCGTTAACGCTAATTTTCGTTACGTTAGGTTGGTAACCGTGGCAAGAAACTTGCACCTCGTAATTCCCAGGCGGCAAGATCACTTTGAACACCGCGCTCTTTTTGGATACCTCGTACGTTTGGCCGACGCCCCATATTTGTATCGACGCGTTTAACATCGGTTCGCCCAAGTTGTTTTCCACAACACCTTTGACTCCTGAAAAATTAATATTTTGACTGTTAATTAACCTGAAAATTATTATTTTTTAGTAAAAATTCGGTTTACCAGTAAGAGTTGTAGACAACACTCTCATTATGGGATCTAAAGTATCCCTCCAAATGTATGGAATATTAGCCACGGCGGGATATTCGCAACACGTCACTTTCGCTGTCAAAACTGGTGTGCCGTATTCGGTATACAAATATTTGGTAAGCAATAAATCAGTTCCTAATTTGTTAGAGCTACAAGACCTTGGTGCGTGTAAACCTGCTTTATACGCATCAGCTATGTATTTGTACTGTTGAACTGCGTCGTTTGTAGGTGGATATCTGAAAATGGTAAATATGTAGGAAACTGAAATATAACGCACTTTCGTGAAATTTTGCACAACCATTTTTTTGACTTAAAACACACAATTTAGCGTGTAAAAAAATAAAATCTTGTAATAGAATGTCTTGTAATGGTGTTTAAATATCTTTCCGAATTTAAACACTAAAGAAACTAAAAAACAAGCTTCAGAAGGCTTTCGTGTCTCACATTGCAAACATATCACTTCGAGCACCACATTATTAACCAAGTTAAGCCGACATTTGCATTAAGAAATGTTGAGTTGTAACTACATCTCTTTTCAATGTAATTACAAGATACATTGATTTAATCACCACTAATTTTTCATGAAGATCAGAAATTTAAGAGAAAAAGAGGCTTTTTAAATCAAATCATTTTTTTTTTGAAGTATTGTAATTTCAAATAATTTTGTAGGTTTGAACCCGTCCTTTCGGGGATTTTTTTGCATTGATTTGAATTCCATCTACAGGGTGATTCCATAATTATCAATTGGCGCACAACGTGGGGCATCGGTAAAAAAAGACCAGACAATTGTGTGAAAGTTTAAAAAGTGATGTATCTGCGAGGAGGAAAGAAAGTTTGATCAATGAAAGTCAGTGAAAGGAATGATAAAGAGAAACTAGAATAAACAAGGAGACATGGATGAGCAAAATTTGCAAAATGTAGTCATAGAAGATCAAGAGAATGAAAAATTGGGACGGAAAATACCATCGAAGGATGTGTTACAGTTATTAAAGGAAGAATTGCGAAGAATGTGAAACAAAATGGAGTAGAAAATTGACAAATTAGAAGGTAAAATGGAACGGAAGATAAGGAAGAATTAATAAAGAAAATGGATGAAAACAATAACGTGTTGGAAAAAAATAGAATAAAAGATAAAGAAGTTAGATGAAATAGTAGAAACAAACAGTGAAGAAACAAAGAAAATTAAAGAAGAACGATGTAAACTGGAACAATATAAAGTTAATAAAAAAATATAAATTTAGAATTAAATAAAGAAGAGTTAGATATAGAAGCAAAATAAGATGAAAAAAATATAGAACTTGAAGAGGTAAATGCAGAAGTAGAAGACATAATTAAAGAAAAGGAAAGTAATGAAGTAAGACAAATCCAAATTGTAGAAAAAGAAGTAAATATGAAAAAGAAAATAAAATTAATCATTGAAGAATTAAAGAAAAAAATGAGAAAGAAAATAGAAGGAAATATAAAATTAGTAAAGAGGAAATTATTTTCCTCTTTATAAATGTTTATAAATCAAGATAAAGAAGAAGAGAAGACATTAGAAAGACGAAAAGTGTAGCGCGTATCCATTACACCACATACTTAGAAAATTATAAAGAATATATATCTTAGTTTTTAGTTCTGTTTTTTAAAATCATTCTATGATAAAAAAAAGAAACAAAAAAAGGATTATATATATTGCGACTAGAATACGCTGGTTAAGTGCGATGTCATTTTGGTTCCACTGACATTTAATTATAACCAAACTTTTAACAAAAACGTCAATAAATTTGACATATACATTTTTACTGTTTTTAGTTTATTTCTAAATATTGTTTACAGGTCATAAAAAAATAGTTTAAAGGCATGTAATTGGTAATTAGACGATTGTATATTTGATGCATGTTATCTACTTACTTTAGGAATATATTTATAAAAGTAAAAAACGATAATAATTTAGGTAAACAAAACGAACAAAATAAAAATCTACTGTCATTTTAATTGTTAGTGGAACCATAATTATATTATCACTAAACTAGCGTATACGCCATTTCTTGTTTCAATAGCAGACGCCTTATCCATTACACCACATACTTAGAAAAATATGTAGAATATCTCCTACTTTGTAGCTCTGGTTTTTAAAATCACTTTTTTTTTAATTTTTAATAAGGAAACAGGAAACATAAAAATTAGGAAATTTTATTCTTTAAACCTTACATAAAAATAAAAACAAAAAAGGATTGTATGTGCCGAGATTCGAACGCACAATCACTTGCTTCAGTAGCAGACGCCTTATTTATTATACTACATACTTAAAAAAATATGTAGAAATATATCGCCTACTTTTAAGCTGTTTTTAAAATCACTTTTTTTAATTTAATCATGAAACAGAAAACAAATATTCAAAAATTTCATTTTGTAACCTTTTAATAAAAAAAGAAACAAAATAGGATTATATGTGCCGAGACTCGAATACGCAATCACTTACTTCAGTAGCAGACGCCTTATCCATTACACCACATACTTAGAAAATATGTAGAAATATATCTCCCATATTTGAGCTGTTTTTTAAAACTCCCAGGCAGCACACATTAGTATAACTAACGTATTTTATACGTAATACTCGTTTAATTTTGGTATTGGTTGATTCCGTATACGTTTACAGTTTACGATTATTATACATACCGTGTTTTAAACGATATATTATACGTTATTTATATACATCCTATGGTATATAATTGTAAATTTTTCTACGTTTAAATATAGTTAACAATATACGACTATTTTTAGTTTGCGATGAACTATTTATATACAGTGGGCCTAAATATACGTTTAGGTTTATTTAAATTAAATTCGTATAAATTTACATTATATTACAATATGTTTTCTTCGTTTATAATTCCCGTTTAAATTTCGTCTTGGTTGATTTTTTAAACGTTTACCATCTACCATTTTTATACTTAACGTTTTTTAACAGATAAATTAAACGCTTTTGTTTGTCGATACTAGTTAATATACCTATATTATTCTACGTTTAAATATAAGTCACCTTAAACGCATAATACCAGTTTACGATGAACTAGTAGACAGAAGTAAATAATATGTATATATTTAGGTTTATTTAAATTAAAAGCTTATAGATATATTTATTTACATTATATCCATATTTTTTAAATTATATTACCTGTTATATTTATAATAAATTCCCCATATACATGGAACTATTTTTAGATGGCGGATGGAGGATGACGTACTAGTCGTTCGGTCTTTTCTTGCGTATGTGTAGTATTATTGTTCAGTGTAGGGAATGGTTTGTGGGAGCAGGTTCATCGGTTCGTCCATTATCATTTGTGTACACGTTTTGTTACATGTTGCTTTGGCGTCCTGGCTTTTACGATATTGATTAAAAGCATAGGTAAGTTTCTATTAATGTTTTAATTTAGCTACTCCTTTAATAATTGTTGTATTTTACAACAACTACTGTTTTATAGGTACGTACAGTGTGTTAAATGCTTATAGAAACTTCAAAACATAACTTTACTTTTGTTTCTTTTATTTTTATACGTATTCTTTAGGTTACCTAGTTATTCCAAGCATACTTATTTTCCTTTTTTTTTGGTCAGTTGTTTTTTATTTAATAAAATGTCTAAAATAACCCTGTCTCTGCGTCACCTACGTAGAAAAATAGTGCAAAATGTTTAAGATGCTTTAAAGTCAAATCAATTTTTTTTTATTCCCAATGAAGATAACATTAATAAGGCTTCGGACATTAATATATCATATGATTCTATTATTTATAATAATTTCCAAGAAAATAATACAAAATTAACTTTGGAGCTTTTAGAAAATACTTCACCTGAAATTATATGGTTATAGGAATGGGGGTGAACCAAACGACTTAACCGACTGAACGATTAGGTGTGCCATGCAAGATTAGCTTAAGTTAGCTAAGGCCCGTCTAGGACACAACACATCCAAAGTGTTAAGCTTAGATTTTTATTTTCATGTATATTTTTTGTTAGTTAAAGAAAAATTTCGTTTAGTTTGTTATTCAGTATTTTAGTGTTTATTTTTTTGTATTTATTTATTTTTTAGTATTTTATTGTTTATTTTTTTTTAATTAAATATTGTTCTGTACATATAACAAGTGAAAAAATGTTTCTAAATATTTATGCCAATTACAACCAAAATAGAAACACGAGTAATGCCTATTTCTGTTGTATACACACCTGCTATGGATAAAATCCAAACTATCATTTAAGAAATATTAACATTTTTCCATGGCCTCTTTTAGAAATTTTGTTTTGATCACTTTATTTAATTTGCTTTCAGGTAGATGCATTTTATACATTAATAAAAAACATACAAATATATCTAATACAGACGTATAGTAAAACAGGATAATTAAAGGTAGATAAAGTAGTAATGTTAGACGTATAAAAAATAAAAAAAATACGTTAATAGGGCGGACATTTTCACGTATATATTGGGTAGCATATCAACAGTATCCATACGTATATTGTAGTACATAAAAGAACGTATTTTATACCAAAGTAAATTCGTATAAATATACTACAACTATAAATCTAATATAGACGTATAGTAAAAACGTTTAATTATAGGTGGATAAATTCTTAGTAATCGACGTTTATAAGGCGGACATTTTCACGAATATATTTGGTAGTACATCAACCGTATTCATACGTATGGTAGTACCTAAAAAAATACGTAATTTATACCAAAGTGTGCTGCCTGGGCTACTTCATTGTTTTTTAATTTAATAAAGAAACAGGAAACAAAAATTAGATTTCATTCTTTATACCAGTGTTTTTCACCCTAGGGGTATCGCGAAGCCTTACTCGGGGGGTCGCCGGCTGAAAGAAAAAATCGAGGTTCTTACACAACAAAAACACAATTTTAGTGAGAAGGATGTGCTTGTTTATTTTTCAAAAGTTTATCAAATTGTGGTGCGATTTTTGAAACGTTAATAATCAAATCATTTTCTAATTGCAGTATATTATCTCTTTTTAGTTTTAAGGTCAACCATTGAAGAAAATGTACGTTCACACAAGTATGAAGTGGCGAATGGCACTAATAATTTAAGAGTTTCCCTTGCCAGCTCTGGATATTCTTGTTTTCTTTTCATCCAAAATAATATGTCGACTCTTTGCGAATAAAATTCCATTTTAATCATGCCATCAGCAGCTAAATCTAGAAGACATTCTTTCATTTTTGTGGTGACATCAGCCAGTTCTATTGATTTGTCCAAAAAAGGATTTAAAATCCATATACTCCCATTGTCAGCTTCAGAGTGCAAGTCTGGAAAGTATGTCAAAAGTTTATCTTGTAAATTATGCAATTTTTCAACCTGTAAAGGGGTCGCGAATCCAAAAAGATTAAAAAACACTGCTTTAAACCTCACAATAAAAAAAAAAGAAGAAAGGATTGTATGTGCCAAGACTCGAACACGCAATCACTTGCTTCAGTAGCAGATGCCTTATCCGTTACACCAGTGGTGACTCGTGGTAAAAATTTTAAGGTGTTCTGCAATTTTTGCAAAAAAAGCTTACCTTTCAGGGGGGTTGTCTTCTTAGTCAAAGTCCCATCGATTTCATCGTGACGTGAACAATTTAAACAAATAGTGCGATTTTACAGTCTATTTTTTTATAAATTAAGTCTATCCTACATTCTTTTTGTTTTACTAAGTGTTTCTGCATCACGTTTTTCAGGAATTAAGTAGTTCCAAAAAACGATCAATTGGCTCACCATTGCCAACATATATAAATATAACTACCAGTTGAGTTTTTGAAGCAACATCCGTTGTTTCGTCCGCCATGATGGCCAAAATGGAGAATTATTAATTTCCTTAATTACTTGTTCATGACAGACATCGAGCATACACTGTAACCGATCGTTCTGTATTTCTTTAGAGGTGCCTTTAAATTCCGAAGAATTTTTTAGGTGGTCACTTAGAGTTGCATCTAATTCAGCCGAGAAATGTATAAGTCCACGAAATATCCCCGGATTCTCGGAAAAATCGCTATCATCATGTCCCCGAAGAGCCAGTTCAAAAGCTCCACAAAACTTAATGCAATTATTAATTTTGGATAAAATATACCTATTCTTTGACACATTTTCATTATGTCTCTGTATATTTAACCAATAAGCAGAATCTAATTGAGCTATAATATTAGTTGTCCCTAGCAACGCAAATTCCATGCAATTATGAAGATGGCTTTTAGAGTTTTCGTGTTTTTTTATCTTTAAACTTAAGTGTTCAAGATCGGTGACCCCTATTTCCGTCCAAGCTTTATCGCCACCAGAAAGTAAACAGGGAAAACAGTACAGAGTATTTTTTTTGTTGCATCCACAGATCCATTCGTTTTTTTAATAAATATCTCTATTAAATTTTCTTGTGTAACTTTTTCCTCTGCTTACATCAGTTTTTTCTATAATTAAATCTGGTAATGGCCTACCTTTTACTTTTAATTCCATCTTTTCTTCGTATGTATATTTAAAAAATTTATTTACGTTAATTAAATTGAAGACCACTTCCATAGTACACAGATAATTGTCAGCAATACACGAAAACACAATACACGCACCCTTAAAATTGTTTTTAACTTTAACTCGCCGAAACTCAAAAGTCGCGAGAAAATTGTAAAAAATCGACACCATACTTATTACGCGCAGCGCTGGATTAATTGCAGCGAACTTTCAACTTAAATCGACGCATCACATGTTTGTTTTAACCGTGGGCGTGGGGGTAGCGGAGTGCCTCGCGGATGTTTGAAAGAGCGTACAGAGCTTCATCATGTGGCCCAGATAAATAATAGTTCAGCGACAGCCTGTGTAAGCGTGTGTGTCGGTAGGTAGGTAGGTTATTCCACTGGTTGACTTTACGTACACGGCTGCCAGCGATGCCGCCGCTTCGCCAGCACTTATTTTTAAAGATTATTATGCCTACTTTAAGGTGGCATAAGATTTATTTTAATATATTTAGCAGAATTGAAAGATAATTAGAAATGTTAGAACCTTTGCTACCTTTAGCTAAAATATAGCAAAACTGCGACCTTAAAATACCCAATTTTTAGATGTAATTTTTTTGATCTATTATTTAAAATACTTTTTCTATATCATCTAAAATTGTTTGTAAATAAAATAATATACATACAAATTTAGGAGAAAAAAATATGAAGCAAAGTGAATCACAACGGATTTTTATGAAATTTTTTACAGCCCTTTCAAACATTCTTAAAAGCACTATTAATTTTTTTGGTTTGGTCAAACCTATTAACCACTTTTAAACCTTAAAAAAACAATTTTTACTTTTATTAACGAACAGATTTACGTTTTTAGCCATTTTGAGCGATATTTTGTATGATTAACAAAAGTAAATGAATTTGCAGTGTTGCCAAATTAAGTAAAATGTATCAGTTTACATGAAATTTACACTTACACAATTCCGCTGTCACCTCCTTCCAAATTCAACACCAAATCGAACTTCTTGTCCAACAACAAATGTTTGAACGCATTAGCTACGGACTTGGTATCCTGATTGTTGCTGTCTCTTCCGTTGACGTGCAACACCTGTTCCCCGACCTGTTTGAAGTCCGCCGAAATGTTATTGCACACGAACCTGTCAGGTTTAACGTTACCTAAGACTTCTTTATCGTAATCGCCCCAAATTCGTTCGAACGCCTTATCGATGACGGGAATGACGTGTACGACGGCGTTCGACAGTATTTTATCGATTCGTATGTCGCCCAATCGATGGCCTTCCAATAGATGGCGCGCTAGATAGATGCCGAGTTCCCTGCCGATCGGTTGCGTGGCGAATAGGTTGCCCATGACGGCTATGCGGAATTTCATTTCCTCGTCATCAGTTATCTGGAAATAGAAAGCTCGAGTCATTGAAAATTGAAGAGAAGGAGATTCAGGAATAAATTCCGCCAGAACACCAAAGGTTTGTTCCAACAACGATCTAGGAACCATACATGTTATATAAAAAATTTCATAGTAAATTCATTAAAGTTAAATTATGCTTAGTTGCAATTCTTGGAATAGTTATCATTAACCTCTAAAATTGTATTCAGCTGTTGAATTTCTTGTAAATCTTACACTTTGGTCACCTTACACCTTTTTGCTATTCCTTTTGTTCTACCTACCTTATAAATAGGTGTGACACAAATTTAAATCTTTAGTTCATAACAACTCAGCTTCCAGGAACATACCTACTTTATAATTTTTAGTAATAAAATATATTTTTTAAAAAATTATTAGTGTTACTCAAGATATAACATACATAAACCAGTCCACGACTCATTGTGGACAATCTTTCTACAACTAGTAATTGACAACCTGTGTGATTGGGACTCGGGATCGGAACTCGGTTATGTTGGAACACTTTTTTAATAAATTAGACGCACTATTACAATAATAAATCACAAAATAAAATAAACGATAATGAACTACACTGGATTGACAAATAAAAATCAAAGGCGATAGACACAAATAATATAATTACAATCACAAAATATTCAGGTTATTGTGGCTTTGCGCATGTCTTGACAAATCGTTCCTATTCAGACCCAGGAACTGATTTGATAGTACACAAATTGGTTTGTGATTAATTTTGTTTTTCGTACAGTTTTGAGTCTAAAGTTTGTTGGAACATGAATCCTAAACTGCGCAGAATCCTGACAGTACGTAAACTGATTTGGTTTATATTGGAACAAACCTCAAGTATGAAAATTGAACCAACAAACGTTGGTATTCTGTACTAACATCTTTACCAATCCTATTTATTGGCGCTATGTTTACCAAGGGGTAATTTTCCTCATTTTTTTTAATTTCAGAAATTGAGAGATATTTACTTAAAAAACATAGGTTTCATTCATATTTTTTTAAAATTCATTCCCGATTTCGAGAAAAAAAATATTAATGTCGTGGTTTTTAAAGTTTTGGACTCTACCGTAATTCACGCGTCGAGAATCGTAGTCAGAGGCTATGAATTTCTATGAATGTCCATGAATTTCCATAAATTTCTATGAATTTCTATGAATTTCTATGAATTTCTATGAATTTCTATGAATTTCTATGAATTTCTATGAATTTCTATGAATTTCTATGAATTTCTATGAATTTCTATGAATTTCTATGAATTTCTATGAATTTCTATGAATTTCTATGAATTTCTATGAATTTCTATGAATTTCTATGAATTTCTATGAATTTCTATGAATTTCTATGAATTTCTATGAATTTCTATGAATTTCTATGAATTTCTATGAATTTCTATGAATTTCTATGAATTTCTATGAATTTCTATGAATTTCTATGAATTTCTATGAATTTCTATGAATTTCTATGAATTTCTATGAATTTCTATGAATTTCTATGAATTTCTATGAATTTCTATGAATTTCTATGAATTTCTATGAATTTCTATGAATTTCTATGAATTTCTATGAATTTCTATGAATTTCTATGAATTTCTATGAATTTCTATGAATTTCTATGAATTTCTATGAATTTCTATGAATTTCTATGAATTTCTATGAATTTCTATGAATTTCTATGAATTTCTATGAATTTCTATGAATTTCTATGAATTTCTATGAATTTCTATGAATTTCTATGAATTTCTATGAATTTCTATGAATTTCTATGAATTTCTATGAATTTCTATGAATTTCTATGAATTTCTATGAATTTCTATGAATTTCTATGAATTTCTATGGATTTCTATGAATTTCTATGAATTTCTATGAATTTCTATGAATTTCTATGAATTTCTATGAATTTCTATGAATTTCTATGAATTTCTATGAATTTCTATGAATTTCTATGAATTTCTATGAATTTCTATGAATTTCTATGAATTTCTATGAATTTCTATGAATTTCTATGAATTTCTATGAATTTCTATGAATTTCTATGAATTTCTATGAATTTCTATGAATTTCTATGAATTTCTATGAATTTCTATGAATTTCTATGAATTTCTATGAATTTCTATGAATTTCTATGAATTTCTATGAATTTCTATGAATTTCTATGAATTTCTATGAATTTCTATGAATTTCTATGAATTTCTATGAATTTCTATGAATTTCTATGAATTTCTATGAATTTCTATGAATTTCTATGAATTTCTATGAATTTCTATGAATTTCTATGAATTTCTATGAATTTCTATGAATTTCTATGAATTTCTATGAATTTCTATGAATTTCTATGAATTTCTATGAATTTCTATGAATTTCTATGAATTTCTATGAATTTCTATGAATTTCTATGAATTTCTATGAATTTCTATGAATTTCTATGAATTTCTATGAATTTCTATGAATTTCTATGAATTTCTATGAATTTCTATGAATTTCTATGAATTTCTATGAATTTCTATGAATTTCTATGAATTTCTATGAATTTCTATGAATTTCTATGAATTTCTATGAATTTCTATGAATTTCTATGAATTTCTATGAATTTCTATGAATTTCTATGAATTTCTATGAATTTCTATGAATTTCTATGAATTTCTATGAATTTCTATGAATTTCTATGAATTTCTATGAATTTCTATGAATTTCTATGAATTTCTATGAATTTCTATGAATTTCTATGAATTTCTATGAATTTCTATGAATTTCTATGAATTTCTATGAATTTCTATGAATTTCTATGAATTTCTATGAATTTCTATGAATTTCTATGAATTTCTATGAATTTCTATGAATTTCTATGAATTTCTATGAATTTCTATGAATTTCTATGAATTTCTATGAATTTCTATGAATTTCTATGAATTTCTATGAATTTCTATGAATTTCTATGAATTTCTATGAATTTCTATGAATTTCTATGAATTTCTATGAATTTCTATGAATTTCTATGAATTTCTATGAATTTCTATGAATTTCTATGAATTTCTATGAATTTCTATGAATTTCTATGAATTTCTATGAATTTCTATGAATTTCTATGAATTTCTATGAATTTCTATGAATTTCTATGAATTTCTAAGAATTTCTAAGAATTTCTAAGAATTTCTATGAATTGTGTTTGACTATGAATAAATTAAGATATAAAACATTAGTGTATTTAGTGAAAAACTGTTTAAAATAAATAAACATTACAATACCTTATTTGATATCTTCAACGAATGTATCATCATTGATATAAAGTTATCCCCTCCTTCGAATTCGGCGATATCCGAGTAACGGTTTTCCATTCCCGCCAAAATGGCGTTTATGTCTTGACTGGTGTGGTATTTCGGTTTGTATTGGTTTTCGCCAATTCCAAAGTCGTACGCGCTGGCCCAATGGAGAGGGTCGTCTTTCATCAAGGTCACGTTGTATTGTAGATAACCTGTATCAGGAATAACCTAAAAAAAATGTTAGTTCGGTAACAATTTAGACTATTTTAAAGGGATTGGTAGTTTAAAAAACAAATGACTTACTATTTTTGACGTATAGCTTTCGTATCCTCTTGCTGTCACCGTTAAATTATACGTTCCTGGTAATAAAATTCTATAGTAATCGCCGAATTTTGCTGAACGTACTCTATGATCGATTCCTTCGACTATAATTTCGGCTTTTACTATTGGATAGCCGATCGTGCTAGTAACGAAACCAGAAACTCCTTTATGTACCTAAAATATAGCGATAATTTCCTCAGTTCTGCGATTTTTGTATAAATATGGCAACGCTGCATTTCCGTTCTATAATTACCTGTTCCATATACGTTAGCAGAGCTTCTCTGTTGTTCATCCAATAGTCCGGTAAATCCTTGGCCTTGGGATACTTGTAGCATCCGATTTCTATGGTTATTTCCATGCAACCTGCAACGAGGTAGTTCCAGTCTTGCATGCCGCCGGTTACGGAATACCATTTGGCCCCGTTGGTGATTCCCCCGTCGAAGATTTCGTTCGGGAACATCGGACAAGGGATTCCGTCGTGCATGGTTTTATGAGCCTTTAAAAAAACAAATTTGTGATGCTTTTTATACAAACATATTCGAGCCACAACTTACATTCGAATACGTTCGAGCCAAATACTTGAAAACTTTATCGTCAGGAGATGGATTTTCGCTAATTCTATTATCGGGAGTATCATCGAAGGGATAATTGGCTACTAGAGCGCCGTTGTGCAGATTCGCTGACAGAACAAACGGTTCGGACAGACTCCAATTCATCACAGCTGCAGTTTCTGGTTGTCTTACAGAGTTATACTAAAAACATTAAAGGTAAACAAAAATTCCATGGTTTTTCTATTAAATACCTTATTAAACCCAAATTGATCGGGGAAGTTCCTGTTCAAATCGTAATCGTGTGCGTTGTTTCTACCTAACAAACTTGATGCATCGCCTACAATACAAAATAACAAAAAAGTGGTACGTCGCTTTTTTGCCCGCAAGTTATACTATGTCCCGCCAGTGGGAGCGGTTCAATGATAACCTGGAGCAGTCAGATAATCGTATGGCTCAAAGAGATTCAAATTTATCATATCGTCATCATCTGGGATCACCAAGATAGAAGATTCAATGGAAAAAACATAATAGACATACGATGGTCAAAGAAAAGGTATCGGTTATAAGAAGGATCACCGACTAGTCTAGCGAAACCCCATTAAAAACCATATTTAAGTATGTGGCAAATATTATTTTGAATCATCATTCTTCATTAACCATATCTTTTTTTTCTGATAAAAACTGTACTTTTTAATTTAAAAAAAATTAAAGATTACATAATTTTTCCACCTACCTTCGTGTGCAACTTCGTACCCATCAGGGTTCATGCTTGGCAACAGATGGATTCTCGTCGTGTTAACCAATTTCGTTATCCTGTCGTCACTTCCGTACCGTTCGCAAATATATTTGATCAAGTACAACAGTAATTCTCTACCGACAACTTCATTGCCGTGCATATTTGCGATATATTTAAATTCCGGCTTTCCTAAAACGTAAACAGAAACAATTAGGCAATCCAAATCACGTGACTTTAAATGGTGGACTCTTGCCAAAAACAACAAAAGTACGTGCTTCCCTTGACAAAAACACTTCTAGTTAGGTTATTAGTCTAAGTTCGTATTATTTTTTGAGTGTTTAGTTTTCGGTGCGTTTAGTGGAAAAATGGCCTAATTTAATATTTATTCTGAATATAGGAGTAGTAACTGTATGAGTCACAATAACAGTCAAATACTAATGAAAAGGTTAGGGCAACAAACTTTGTTGTTTTAGCCAAGCATCGTCCATTTTTATACATTCTGACAGGGCATTGGATTGCCTAATTTAGGAAATCCAAATCACGTGACTTTAAACGGTGAACTTTTGACAAAAACAACAAAAGTACGTGCTTCCCTTGACAAAAACACTTCTAGTTAGGTTATTAGTCTAAGTTCGTATTATTTTTTGAGTGTTTAGTTTTCGATGCGTTTAGTGGAAAAATGGCCTAATTTAATATTTATTCTGAATATACGAGTAGTAACTGTATGAGTCACAATAACAGTCAAATACTAATGAAAAGGTTAGGGCAACAAACTTTGTTGTTTTAGCCAAGCATCGTCCATGTTTATACATTCTGACAGGGCATTGGATTGCCTAATTTAGGAAATCTAAATCACGTGACTTTAAACGGTGAACTTTTGACAAAAACAACAAAAGTACGTGCTTCCCTTGACAAAAACACTTCTAGTTAGGTTATTAGTCTAAGTTCGTATTATTTTTTGAGTGTTTAGTTTTCGGTGCGTTTAGTGGAAAAATGGCCTAATTTAATATTTATTCTGAATATACGAGTAGTAACTGTATGAGTCACAATAACAGTCAAATACTAATGAAAAGGTTAGGGCAACAAACTTTGTTGTTTTAGCCAAGCATCGTCCATTTTTATACATTCTGACAGGGCATTGGATTGCCTAATTTAGGAAATCCAAATCACGTGACTTTAAATGGTGGACTCTTGGCAAAAACAACAAAAGTACGTGCTTCCCTTGACAAATACACTTCTAGTGAGGTTATTAGTCTAAGTTTGTATTATTTTTTTTTTGAGTGTTTAGTTTTTGGTGCGTTTAGTAGAAAAATGGCCTAATTTAATATTTATTCGGAATATAGGAATCCTAACTGTATGAGTCACAATAACAGTTAAATACAAATAAAACGTTAGGTCAACAAACTTTGTTGTTTTAGCCAAGCATCGTCCATTTTTATCCATTCTGACAGGACTTTGAATTGCCTAATTATCCTCCCGGGTAAGCTTCGAAATCCTACCTGAAACGTGGCTATCCGGCGTAGTTCCAATCACGAACACCATCAGATCCCTTCCCTGCACCGATTTCCCTATGGAATGCAGTCTCGTAATATTTGGATACATGCTGTTGTAATGCAGCATAAATGCGACCATTTCATCGTAATGGTGGTGTTTAAATATGGCTGGATCGCTAACGACGAACCCATAATCGTCCTGATTTAGATAGGTAACGGTTTCGGGGGTTAAAAAGTTTTCTGTAATTAAATTTCATATGTAAATTACTTGGAATGAGGACGTTTTAGATATTAAATGTATTAAAAGGCGGTAATAGAACATGAGATGGAAGATGAACTAGAAAATATATCTTGAACAATTTGCTAGAAATATAAAAACCTTTTTGCTCTAATAATTTTTATTATCAACATCACTCATTTGTTTTAACAACTATCATCAAATAATTATAAAGTTTACATGATATATACTAACAACATGGATAGAAGCAGTAACGGATTGGACCTTGGACCGTCGGTCTAGGCCCTCGTCCAGGCAGTGGACCCTCGAGAAGAACAAAGAGCCAACTTCATTACAGCCTGAAGTCATTTTACGGCCCTACCCCAGGTAAGCATAACTTTTTTGCCCTATAGTTTTTTTGGCTTTAGGTATTACAACATTATTTAATTTATATCGAGTTGCATGGTCATGACTTACTGATAGTAAAGTGTGTTTGTCTTTACGTTATCTAATACTCCAACTTCTTGATAAAGATCTATTGTTGGGTGAGTTCTAGGTCGGTGAAATATCGTTTTTAATATACTTTTTGTATTTTCTGCAAGTTATTAATTAAAGTGGCACCTGCTACACCCCATGCTATTATACCGTATGAGAAATGACTTTCAACTAATGCATAGTAAAGAATTTTTAAATACCTCACATGGAGGAAAGTGGAAAGGTTTCTAAATTTATATAAGACGAATCTTAGCTTTTTTATAATATAGTTAATCTGCTCTTCCCATCGCAGATGTGAGTCGATATATATTCCCAAATACTTTATGTTATTTGTAGATTTTATAATAATAGTTTCATTTTCGATTTTAATATTAATTTCTTTAAAAGGCGGTAAGTAATTGCTATATGATGTAAAAGAAAGTTTTTTAAAATTAATTGTTAGTAATGTGCTCTCAAAAAAATTAGCGATAGTAGTAAAGTCATTCTGAACTGTGCTTTTTAATTCCTGCCAGTTATTTCCTTCATAGAAAATGGCTGTATCGTCCGCAAAACTTACAGTATTACCGTTAATTTTTTGAAAAAATAAATCATAATAAATGTTGAAAGTGTAGGACCTAACACAGTTCCTAGGGGAACTCCGTATTTAATTACCATAGGATTACTTACATCTCCTGCAATAATTTTGAAGCAACTCCTCTGAGACCTATGTTTTCAAGAACAGATATTAATTTTTTGTGGTCTACCGTATCAAACGCCTTGGCTAGATCAATGAATATGGCTATGGAAGGATGTTTTTTATCAAGTGAGTTATTATATAAAATGCATGTACTGCACGACGAATGACTTATTTTGTTATATCTTTCAATTTTTTTTTTCTTCCTCTAGTCTCAGCCTTCGAAGTATTAATATCGTTTGTTTCATCCCTTGTTTATAAACGTAAAATAGCCTTCCACTAATGTAAAAGAGATCTCGTGTTATTCCTAACAGAATGTAATGAACGCTGATTTATCACGAATAAAAACATATTCTTTAAACCATAACTTGCATTTGAATGCTTCTAAATCTAAGTTAATTTTATTTTCGAATACCAACTCACGTTCAAGTATAAAAAGTAATATGTCAATTAAAATTTATGACGATAGAGTCCCGTATGTAAATGTAGCTAGAAGTCTAGGCTTACTTTTAGATGAGAACTTGCGGTTTATTGAATATGTGAATAACCTCTCTTCCCAGTGTTATTTAACATTAAAATTATTATTTGTCAATAAGTATATATTGTCACAACAAATGAAAAAATACCTTTGCGAAACTCTAATATTGAGTAAAATATTATATTGCATAGTAATTTACTATCCTGGTTTAGATTTAGCAACTGCGAACAGACTGCAAAAAAATTCAAAATACATGCTGTCGCTTTATTTATGGGTTGCGCAAATATCAATATCAAAAACTTATTTAAATATCATCTTCTCTTGTTCACAATATACTAAAATCTCAAAATCCACCATATATGTCAACTAAATTAATTTCTCGTAATCAGATTCACAATGTAAATATCCGACAATTTACACTAACAATGCCACAACATATATCTGCTATTTTTGTTAGAAGTTTTACGTACAATGCCATTAAACTTTATAATGAACTAGACGATGAGCTAAAAAATACTTATTCTCGATCAAGTTTTAAACACAAACTAAAAAAACTCCTACTCCAACAGCAAGCCAACAATTTTATTACTTTTTTTATTGTTTTTATGTTTTCTACCGTTTTAACTTAACCTTATTTGTGTATTGTATTTTAACATTTTAATATATCTTAATATACTATGTTCTAAATTAAGAGGAGTTAGATGGAAGAATAGCCTTTGGCTAAATCTCGCTCCATTACTAAAATTTTTGTAATATTTTGAAAAATTATCAATAAAGACGATTTATTATTATTATTAATGTGTACGCCCAACTTTTCATTTTAATGGCAAAGTAAAATAATACAGGTATTAGGTGGGGGAGGATATACAGATAGAGAATACTCAAAAGAACGGTCATATATTTTAAAACATATGTTGCCATGATTCCGTCATTTGACATATTCTTATCTTTTCTATCCTGTATCTTTGGCGTCTATAAGTTATTCGGAATTGCCTTAGGGTTGTGACGGCAATGGTGGTGGGATTTTGAAAATTAATAAAATTGTCAGATATATTTTGGAAATATTGACAGAGGGTTTTAGAATTGTCAGTTGGGAAATAATTAAAAAAAGTTGGAAAATATTCTATTGAAGTTAAAATAGATAGATGGATATTTAAGTTGAAGGTTTTATTTGTAGATATGAAATCAAAAAAAAAAAATAATAAAAAAGAAAGATGAAGTAAGTTTTATTTAAATTAAAGATAAGTGTGAATGGAATAGGAAGGAGACTTCGTCAGAAGGAGAAGTAAAAGTAGAAAATAGAGGAAAACAGCAAAAGGAGACCAGGCAGGAGAATAGGAGGTACAGAAAGTCAGGAGTTGGAACAGAAAGCAGAAGACAAGAATAAGCAAAGCGGAAGATTTAGATTTTTTTTTCAAATTCAACATTTATCGATTAGTATTATGTTTTTGGAATTTTTGTGAGATGCCAAACGAGCCATAACCCTAAAATCTCTAGGATATTGGAATTGCTTGGCAACCCTGTAATGTTTTTAAAAAAATTCTAGGGTTGAATACAGTATTACCAAACCATTATAAAGCTGGAAAAAAACAGGGTGTTCTATTTAAAAAATATACATTTTTATTTTCTAGACAAAACCGCAACACCCTGTATATCAAAAAATATTTTTAAAATCCATAAAACTTTTACTTGAAAATTGTTTGCGTGTCAATAACACAAATTGAAATATTGGACGCACTAAAGGAACTGTATATTTTTGTTATTTAATTTCCTTTTAAAGTTTATTTGGACATGAAAATAATATTTATTTATGCTTTAAAACGTAAAAAATGTATACTTAGGACAAGTCAAAGTTAAAATGCTACAAAAATTAGGCACATAACATAAGATAAAATATAATACAGATTCATCCATCGTACTAGGAACATGGTAAACATGATGACCAATTGACGCTTGTCCGCAACTGTCACATTCAAATTTTGTGCTTTTATCGCGGGCGAAAAGTATTTCTTTAGATTTAAAATGAATGTTTACGAAATTGCTGAGAAAGTACAAATTGTGAAATGGCATTTTCAAGGCAACACAATTCGACAAATAAGCGGTTTGTTTGAGGCGACATTTCAAAATAGGCCCATACCATCTCTCTCAACAGTACATCGTATTGTTCAAAATTTTGAAATTCATGGCTGCGTTTCTCCCAATGAACATAAAAAGGCTCGAGTTAATAATAATCAGAATGAACAAGAAGAGAGGGATATTATGATTTGTGCAACTGTGGAAGAAAATCCGATGATATCTCAGAGAGAGGTTGCGGAAGTTGTAGGTTCCAGTGAAACCACAATAAATAGAATTTTAAAAAAACATGGATATCCATCTTATAAAGTAAGAAAATGCCAAGAAATTTATGAAACTGACAATATCAGACGAATGGAATTTAGCGAGGCAGTAATGGATAAAGTTAACAATGACAACAATTTTCTTTACAATGTTGTGTTGTGACTTTTCCATTACTTGCCAGGCATAATCCATCCCAAGTCCGATATCGGTCTCGAGAAAATTTACATAAATTTGTAACAGTTTGCACGCAGTTCCCGCAAAAGTTGAATGTTTGGATGGGAATACTAGGTGAAAATGCAATCGGTCCTTTTTATATTGAGGGTAATTTAAATAGTGTTAAATATTTGGATTTACTCAGACACCATATTGTCCCTGAGATACGGCGATTGGCAGGAGCTCGATTTAACAATATTTGGTTTCAACAAGACGGATGTTCTCAGGGCCGCCGAGAGCCAGGCCGGGCTCCCGGACAATTCTCTAGATCGGGCCCCGTGACAAAAAAATCTTTAACCAAAAACTGTTCCTCTTCTACTGAGATACAATTTTTTCTAAAAAAAAGTCCTCACATCAAAAACTATTCTCCCTACTTCCATTACTTCTTCTAAAAAAAAAAGGTCATCAGCCGAGAAAAACTTCTATAGGCGAAAACTTTTTCTCTACTTGTATTTAATTTTAATTTAAACTTAACTTCCTTCTCCCATCTTGTGTCGAATTTCTCATACAGAACAAATAAAAACCTGTTGTCGGGCCCCCCTTACAGCGCTGCCGGGCCCCCATTTAAGCCCGGGCCCCGGGAATTGGTCCCGGCTGCCCCCCCCCCCTCTGTCGTGAAATGTATAAAGTTATTCCAAATATGTCACATGCGAAAGCTTTGGAATGACAGTAGCGGACAAGGGTAAATTGGTCATCAGTTTGACCATGTTCGTAGTATCGTGGATGGATCTGTATGAACCTTTTTAATTATAAAAGGTAGTGTCAGAAAAGTTTTAAGATAGACTACCCCTTTTCCAATAATAAATGCTTCACATATCTTTTAAATATGTTTACACCAGTTTTTGAAATGATTTGACTTTAATAAATAAGATCAACCTTGAACCCAACAAATATTTTATACTACAAGTAGCATATAACAGGCATAACATTGACAGATGACACATAACATTGACAAACGACACATAAAATTGACAGATGACATGTTATGCTTCCTCTACAATATGTTTTATGCCCTATGAATAGGACGAACAGAATAGGTTCACCAGGACATTTACTATCGAGGTCATAGAAGCCCACCAAATGATCACTCGGTCGTAAGAGACGACTAAAAGAATATGAGCATCTAGAGACATCTCTAGGCGACGTTGTTAACTAGTATGTGCTTAGAGGATGTACAATGGACCTAGAGAGGCCTAAATGATGTGGGACAACTCTCCATAACTAACAGAGAGTATACTATCAATATTTCTTTTTAAACAAATTGTGTACAGTTGATCTAATATTGAATTACACAAATAAAATTACCGATAAAAAATGCTACTTTATTCACCAAGTTTTATACCTCTGAACACAGCAACATTATTAAAATGCAAATACAGGGTGAATACATAGTTGATATTTTTTAAATGTGTATAAAGTCGTTAAAATAAACATATTTTTCAAAAAACAAAATCTAAATCCGGGTATTGACTTGTGTATGAAAAGTTCAGCTAAATAGGAAGTGTTTTGTTTTTATCTTGTTTACCTATTTTCGCGTTTTCTTATAAATAACGCTACATTCATTGCGTTCGGTTTGCCACGTTCCTTTAACTCCTTTAACACTTTTAACTCCAAACGACTCTTTTAGCGTTCGGTTTAGTCCGATTAGTGACAGTTTAACACGCTTAAATGTCATTTAAAAGCACCCTAAAATTTGTCCCGCTCCAGCCCCTGACTGTCCGAACTCGCCTATTATAGTAATTCAATCGTAATTTAAAGATTTCCCCGCAGAACCCAGTTTTGTGAATGGCTTTTACAACGACATGAATGTGATCAACATTTTTCGACGAAAGTTCTACACATTATTTAAGTTAGACAGAATCGTATTGAATATAGTTTGGAATAATTTAATGTTTCTTATTTTTGAGTTTTTTTGACACCATTATTGTAAATACAATTAAAATAGTATTCACCGTGTATAATCCAATTAACCAAAAACGCAATTCCTGAACTGTTTGTTTGTTCATAATTATGATTGCTTCCAAATTTTTTTAGAATCAACTGACAAACATTTATAATTTATAACTTTTAAAAGTGTTGATGTTTTACAAATCCGTCAAATCCTTGATGGCTGTCATGTTAAATTTTGTCATATATAAGGTTTTCAACAATTGAGACGACGAATTTTGACAGACGTCAGGTTTTTAACAATTGACAAGTAAATGTTGATGTACGTCAAATGTCACTAGTGACACAAGTTCTATACATTATTTAAGTTAGATAGGACCGTATTGAGTACATTTTGGAATAAATTAATGTTTGTTAGTTTTTTTTGATAAAATTATTTGAAATACAATTAAAAAAAGATCAACTTGGTATTCACTCTGTATAATGCAATTAACCAAAAACGCAAGTCCTTCTATCGAATATTTTTGGAGACTAATGACGAAAATTTTAAATGTATATCTGCTAAAAATGTTAATTTATGCCAAATACACCATCTATATTAATAAATATGAATTAACAATGCATACTTACTTTACACATTACCTCGACCAGCGGTTGTAACAATTATCATGTTTTACAAATCCGTCAAATCTTTGACGGCTGTCATATGTCGAGTTTTGACAGATGTTAGGTACTTAAAAAATGAAATGACGAATTTTGACAGATGTCAAATTTTTAACAATTGACAAGTGAATGTTTATTTAAATGTACGTCAAATGTCACTAATGACGAATTAAATGATTCAATAACCGCATTCTTTGAAATATGATGTTAAATGTATTTTATTGTGCAAGTGATGTGCAATTTGGGAAGCAAGTGCAAGGAAAAGGGTGCTGTGGAAATAAAATACACATGTCTTCACAATACTTTTATTTTTTTTTGTAAATATATTGTTGTACAACAGTTTTAAATCGTAAAAATAATAATCTGAGTAAATATATTTATTTAAGTAATTAAGTATTGTCATGGAATGCTTTAACATTAAATAGATAAAAAAGTACGGAAACAAGTCTTTGGACAGTAAAAAAAAAATAATATCAAACATATGTATTTTATTTATTATTAAGATTTTAAAAAATGTTAGTAGTGAATGCCAAGAAAAAAGTTAAATACCACTTCCTGAGTTATACACAGCGCGTCTCAAAATATTTCCAATACAAAAAAATATGCTGGTACTTTGAGCCACCCTGTATCAGTGTTAGTAACGCTCTAAGCGATTACAATACAAACTGATGAATTTACCACGTTAATTGAAGAGTTGAAACACCGGGATCAAAAACTATTGTTTAAAAATTTCGAATTTAGATATAACAAAAAAAATTGAAAACGCCCTATAATTTTTTGGATGTTTTAAAATTAATAACACAGATAAATCACAAACATAAAAACACCCGTTACTAGTGGTGCACCATAAGGAACCATTTTAGGGCCCATATTTCCTGCAATTTATAAAATTATTCTTAAAAAAAAAAAACAAAAATAATTTGGAATAAAATGGGTGCACCTAGAGGAACTGATCGGGGACCTATTTATTGAAGCATTTATAAGAGAGCGAGCTATTGTCATCCATTACTGGTAATTCGATTTTTTAAAATTATTTATCACATAATTTATTAATCAAAGTACTTTTTAATTTAATTATTTTTAAGCAAATACTACTAACAAGGCTACTACTACTATTGCTACTTTTAAAAAGATATGTTCGGATTGCATCTAACAGCTAATGTCTTTTTATTATTATACAGGGTGTTACATTTCTACTTATAGTACAATTACTTCAATAGAACTAAGAACTACTTTCTAAATATCCATCTACCCAAAAAGATACTATTAAAATAATGTCTTCAATTCAATTAATTAGACATTTCTACCTATGGTTCTAGATATGTCTTTTTTAAGCTAAATCGTGTTTTTGCGTTAATTAATTCCAGTACCAAATGTCAGGTTGATACTGATTGTTCCTAGAATTACCTGATAGAGGGTCTTGGAGCTGTAAAATGAAATCTTGACGTGCCGTTTTGCCTTCTTCCACGGTTACGGTGACAGTTTCCGACGGTTGGTATCTAAAATAATACAGATTTGCGTTTGAAAATATTTTTGTACGTTTCTTAAATACAGGGTGCCCCACTATAAAATAACACATTTAACAGCTTATAACTCGAGAATGGAAAAAGACATAGACATGAAGTTTTCTTACATTTGTTTCAAGTTTTTGTTGACATAGTTGCCAAATGTATATTTTTTCCCTAAACTGCAGGAAACAATTTTGGATTTTTTAAGCTGTATTATCGGTTTACTTTAAATATTTTTTTCACACCATCTAAAAGTCCTTTTCTTCGCATTTTCAAAAATTAATACATTATGATTATTTATTTAAGGTTTGGGGGAGATATTATTTTATGAATCTACAACAAAAAAATGTAGATGAAAGATTGTTGGAATTTTCTGTTAAGAGTTTATTAAATTTTTATAAATATTTATAGATGTCTTTTCTGGTTTACTTTAAATAAAAATGATCTGATTATTATACTCTTTTAATCAACTGTGTCCTGTTTCCAACGCCGCGTGTCATATTGGACACTTTTATCAAGGTAGCTTTTAAAAAAATATAACTGGCCTTAAGAAACGTCAAATAATTTATGTGAAGTAGATCAAGAACGAACACAAGCAAATTAAATAATTGACAATGTAAGAAAAGCCATTTTTTTCGGAAAATTCGGGAAAAAATATACATTTGGCAACCTTGTCAACAAAACTTGAGGCAAATGAAAGAAGTTTAGCAAAAACTACACGTCGATATATTTTTCAATTCTTAAATTTTAAGCTATTAAATTTGTTTCATAATGTATTTTTAATTTTTTTGAATTGTATTAAATTCTATTAAATACTATAAAATTCTATAAAATTCTATAAGAATTCTATAAAATTCTATTGAATTTTATTAAATTCTATTGAATTTTATTAAATTCTATTAAATTATATTAAGTTCTATTAAATCCTATTAAATTCTACAAAATTCTATTTATAATCTATTAAATTTTATTCCATTGTAATCAATTCTAAAAATCTATTATTTTTTATTAAATTCTCTTAAATTTTATTAAATTCTCTTAAATTTGATTAAATTCTATTAAATTTAATTACATTCTATTAAATTCCTACAAATCCTATTAAATTCTATTAAACTCTACTAAATTCTATTAAATTATATTAAATTATATTAAATTGTATTAAATTCTATAAAATTCTATAAAATTCTATTAAATTATATTAAGTTCTATTAAATTCTAGAAAATTCTATTAAATTCTATTGATAATCTATTAAATTTTATTACATTGTAATCAATTCTATAAAATCTATTAAATTTTATTACATTCTATTAAATTCCTACAAATCCTATTAAATTATTTTAAATTATATTAAATTCTATTAAAATATATTAAATTTTACTAAGTTTTACAAAATTTTACTAAATTATACTAAATTTTATTAAATACTATTAAGTTCTATTGAATTCTATTAAATTATATTGAATAATATTAAGTTCTATTAAATTCTATTACATTATATTTAATTATATTATTGTAAAACCTCTTAAATTCATCTGAATTCATTTGATTTTATAAGAATTAATTAGAATGTTTATAATTTATTGTAATTTATTGTAATTTATTGTAATTTATTGTAATTTATTGTAATTTATTGTAATTTATTGTAATTTATTGTAATTTATTGTAATTTATTGTAATTTATTGTAATTTATTGTAATTTATTGTAATTTATTGTAATTTATTGTAATTTATTGTAATTTATTGTAATTTATTGTAATTTATTGTAATTTATTGTAATTTATTGTAATTTATTGTAATTTATTGTAATTTATTGTAATTTATTGTAATTTATTGTAATTTATTGTAATTTATTGTAATTTATTGTAATTTATTGTAATTTATTGTAATTTATTGTAATTTATTGTAATTTATTGTAATTTATTGTAATTTATTGTAATTTATTGTAATTTATTGTAATTTTAATAATTTATTTATTATTAAAAACTGACCCGTATGCCACGGCGTACATCTGATACGTCCCAGGCAACAACAATCTCCAATACTCCCCCTTATTCGAAGTCGTGACGTTATGATCGATGCTCGTCACCACTACGTCGGCATCCAAGATGGCGTCGCCCTTCTCGTTCTTGACTAAACCCTTTACGCCCCAATGCGTGGCTTCCATAAACCTCAACAAAGATTCCTTATTGTTCCTCCATTCCCTAGGAAGCGTATTCGCCGGGGGGAACTTGCAACAGCTCAATTCGAACGTCACTTCGAAGCAATTCGAGTGCACGTAGTTGAAGTCTTGCATACCGCCTAAAAAAATAACACCTTTTGACGTAAACGTAAGTATATACGCGAGTATGTATAGATAATGTGATAGATGGTCTTTAACGACAATAAAAATGGATTGGTATCACTGGGCAAGTTGACGTTAACAGATGACATAACAGCTGACTTAACATATAAAATGACAGATGATATGACAAATAATGTAGCAGGATCCCGCGTTGAAAAGAATTTAATTGGAGTTAAGTTCGAACAAAAAACTCACCTCTAACTTCGTACCAGTTGGCGCCGTTCGTAATGCCCTGGTCGAACTTGTCCTCGCGACAGGAGTTGCCGAATTTCATAACGGGATTCGATTGGGCGTACAGCAGGGCTAATTTTTTAAACATAGCGTTGTCCGGCGCTTTGCTTTCCTTGCAACATTTTCGACCGGTGCTGAAAATTTAATGTAATTACAATAAACAATCGAAATAGATGTTCTTTAAATCCAGTTTTAACTGGCGCGGTGATTTGGTCTATATCTAGAAAAAAGCTTACTTGGAATCATCGTATGGATAGCTGGCGACCACAGCTCCGCCATGCAAGTTTCCAGATAAAACGAAAGGTCTGGAAATGATCCACGTCATCATTGCGACCGTTTCGGGTTGCCTTCCGGCCAAAATTGTACCTTAAAAATAACGATCTATGTAGGTATTTTTGTCTATAAATAATTTCGTTCATTGACTTTATAGATGCATTGTGATGGTTTTGAAATCGTATTTCATCATGATTATCGTCTTTTTAAATCCTCCCAATTTTCAACTGTATAAATAATCGCAGTGTCGTCAGCAAAACTAATAAATAATATTATCTTTAGTTTTAATACTAAAGAGAGATCATTTATGAAAACACTAAATATTAGAGGACCCAGAATGGTGCCTTGTGGTACTCCGTAATTCATAGTTGTATACTCACTGAAGGCGTCATTCTCTTTCACTAGTTGTTTGCTGTTATTTAAATAAACAAACATCAAATCAAGTGATGTCCCTTGTATCCCTGCATCTCCCAATTTTAGTAGCATAATTTTCTCCTAAATCAGTGAAATGTTGGACAAATCGATTTGCCTTATTTAATTTTGTTTACTTATAATAGTTTTTTTTTTGATCTGCAACTTTTTCAAATTATTTATAGTCAATTTAATTCGTCCCCTTAGTGCAACAACTAGATAACTTGAAATACACCTGTTAAGTAATCAAAAATATTTAATATCTATACAGATATGTTGCATATCAAATTATGATTTGTTAATTTTAGAAACAATTAGGTTTCATATCTTTGCAGAATTTAATCAAAAACTTGAGATATCTAGTTGTTGCTGAAAAAATAGTAAAGTTATCTATTTATAACCACTAACAATTAAACGCAAATCACCTAATAAATACAACTTTATTTTGAATAAAAAATTAACAAGATTAGTTTAAATAAAATCCAAAAGATTCCACCCTTGATACAACTTAAGTGTCAATATCAATGATGTCGGTTTGAGAATCTTTCATGTTTTAAGGCCGTTTTACGTTGGTCTCCTTGGAATGGAAGACTTTCAAAAATGCTTTATACTCGCTAGGGAGGGCCGGAGGATTCATTTTGAACAAAGACATAGGGTCGCCATAATTTTTTTAAGTGTTAGTTGACTTTGATACAAAGGCTTTTGGGTATTATTTGAAGACGACATACGTGATTTACGTTTAAAATTTAGACGTCTAAACTCCCCATCAAAATCTTCTATAAAATTAATAATAAATGGCGCCGATTTTGAAAAGTTCAACCAGCATATTTTCTGACCACTGACCAAGTTATAGCTTTTAAAAAGACAGCGTAAAAACGATTTAGCAGCACAGAAACAAACCTGTTGTTTCAAGCACACAACTAGATATCTCATAGCGACCAAGAAGGTGCCGGCAGATAACTCAATAATACCAGTGCTAAAACTAGATATCTCAAGATCTCTAGTTATAAAATGTATATATTGCGAGTTATCTGTTTTTAGTCACTCTTCAAAAATAGGTTTGGTTGCTCGTACATGATATCCAGTTGTTGCATTGAAAAGAGCATGAAAAATAGGACAGATTAAACTGGATAACTCAAAATGCATAAATTTCGAGTTATCTAGTTGTTGCACTAAGAGGGCGAATTGTAGATAAGCAAAATACATTTATTAAATAAAATTTGCATGAAATACAAAATTTTTCATTGCCAATGTGCACACAGGTTCTTTATAAACTTTTAATGTTACCACCAGATGGTAATGCAGGCTTCTTAAAAATATGCAAACCAGTAACGTTATCCTGTTTTTTTCTGATAAACTTTGTTCATTTCTCGTAGAACTCTCACGACTACAGATATATACAAATATGATATAGACGGAATGTACCTATAGATAGTAACACATTTTCCAGGTTATCGTCAGAACTTTTAGAAAAATGTATTCATCAGTAGTTATCAGAAGGTTAAATTTTGCAATTTAAATATTTCGAAATTGTTATTGTAACGTTAAGGTTCATAATATAGATAAAATAAACATTTATAATTACCTGTTTTCGTTGCGTCAAATTGATCGGGAAAGTCGCGGTTCAGGTCGATGCTATGCTCATTTTCTCTACCAATGTAACCGGTTTTAGATTCACAACTGCCCTCCTAAAAAAAATAACAATTTATAGGGGGTTCCTAGTCAAGATAATAAAATAATATATAAATAATTATGGATTAAATGATAAATATTAGAAATAAAGGATAATCTAAAAGAGTTAAATCTGGTAAATAGAGGGAATGTTCAAATAAATTCAACATAATAACCCAGTTTTCACAAACAGTACCTATTTGAAAGTCTGCTAAATGTAAGAAATAATTTGAGAAATTTCACATCACTCCAGACAATCATACATACATACGATACCAGCGGGAAAAAAAGTTTTTCATATGCCACTAACTGTCTACGTAAGTTGGCGAAATATGAAAATACTTTTTTATTATTAATATTAGAAAAAAAGTTATTCTTCATAAAAAGTCTAGCATGGTCTAAAACCTAAAATACAACCATCGTATATTAAATTTTACCAGTTGTATACGAGATTTGTCAAAAATAAAGGTACTTTACTCTTCAGCAAAAATCATATTTTTCGACAAACCTCATACACAGCTCAAAAAAATTCATATATAGATGGTTGCATTTTAAGTTTTGGACCATGCAGAAATTTTTATCTAGAATACATTTTTTCACAAAACCAAGAATAAAAAAGTTTTCCATATCGTTCCAATTTAAGTACACACTGTAGAGCAAAAAAATAAATATTTTAAAAATAAAACACGTAGGTACGATTAAAGTAAATACTGGTTTTCTCTAAAAATAATAAATGCATAAATTATTGTTCTTGCATTTAATAAAAAATCCAAACAGTTTGTTTAGTTACGTACACCCCCATTGCAAGGGACTTTTTTTTATTTAATTTATTTATTTAAAAATAATTCTGATGCATATGTAATTTTTTAGTATTTTCGTTTGCAATGAATATTTACAGGGGTGATACAATAGGTTGTATAAAATAACCAGAAAAAGCCTGTAATAATTAGACAGGAAAGTCATGTATTGGACACATCAAATTTTTTTCTTTTATTACTATTACCTGCCTATTATAATTTATTTTTTTATTTATTTACAATTCCCCCATTTAAAGAATAAAGTGTGGACAAATAATATAAATATTCAACCATTTAGAGACAGCAAAGTGCATCCTGAAAAAAAAACTTTACTAGACGAAAAAAAAAAAAAAAGGATGCACCCATCTGACTCAATTTTAAATAATATAAATTAACAAACTAATATAAACAAAAAGAAAAAGACTAACAAATTTTATAAAGAAAAATTAGATACAATAAAATCATACAACAGAACAAATTAAGCAATAATTGATATAAAAATAAATAAAAGTTACTAATTTGACAAGAACACTCTTTTAATAGATAAGACAGAACTTCAATATTTGAGTAGTTTACAATCATTTTTACAAAGGAAATGCCTTGTATGTGTTGGTTCTATGAGAGTGTTTGTGAAATGTATAATTATTTCGAGAATTAACCCTCGGAACATGAAAATTTAACTTTCCAGAGATGAAAATGCAATCTACCTTGTTTTGTATTATTTTATATAGAAATATTATAGAATGCATCGATCGTCTGTTGTAAAGGATACATGATTTAAAACGTTCTAAATAAAAAATCTTATATGTCCAACACATGACTTTCCTATCTAGTTATTACAGATTTTTTTTCGGTTATTTTGTATAACCTATTGTAGCACCTCTGTAAATATTTTTTATTAGAAGTAACTTTTATTTAAATAATTTTCTTCTCCAAACGTAAATAACAGATATATTTCATTAAATATAAAAATGACCCCCTATAAAGTACCCCCCACATGTTCCAACTCTGCCCAAAATCTAATAAGTTCACCTCAGGTCGGAATAAAGCATAAGTTTAAAATTTAAGGTTTTTCTTTATGTTTTTGAGTTTTCTTCAAAAGCATATTTAAACTAAACTATTTGAGGCGCTGTTCTCCACATCTTATCAAATGGGCTAAAATAATTTATAATACTCTAATATTACCTTATTTTAATTATTGTGCCACTATATTGTATTTGCTCAACCAGAATAAATTGCAACGATTGCAGAAGTTGCAGAATAGAGGTATGAGGATAATACTGAGCCGTTCTAACCAATCAATTCTATGTTGAATGTGCTTCAGTATAATTGCCTGTTAAAAAATATTAGCTATTCTATTCCCTGCTATTTATATTTAAGATTAAATAAGGAATCTCCCCAGTATATTTACAAAATATTTTAAGTTATAAACAGGATGTTCATGAACACAATACACGACATAAGAAAAATTTTAGAGTTTATAAGGCCACGAAAAAATGTACACACAATTCAGTGTTTTTTAGGTGTACAGGCTTTTAATAATTTGCCTGAAGATATTAAATATTTAAAAGAAAACTGTGTGAGTACTTACTGACCAATTGACGTTTTTTTTTCTTGTTCTTTTATTATGTTTTGTATAGTTGTATGTTAATGTATTGTATCTTATGTATTTTTCATTGTACTTTAAATGTTGATTCTATACTTATGTATTTTTTATATTTTAAATGTGAAGATGTATTGACATGTAAAAAATAGTTTTCTTGACTAAATAAACGATTTTATATATATAAAAATACTTTATATGTATTACTAAGGATAAAGTATTCTATTAAGGAACTGGAATATAAATTATTATCAATGAACTGAATGAATTATCAATGATGCAATTTTACTTACAAGAAAAATTTCGAATAATTCTAAAGTGACTCTTTTACATAATATAGTATTTTTTTACATTGATAAAATGAAATTCACTCATTTTTTAGTGTGCTATCTCGAAAACTAGAAGAAATAAAGAAAAAATTATCTTCTTTAAATAAGTAGAATAACATTTAAAGAATAGCAGGTTTATATACCTACTTATAAAAAATAATACAATTTTCATGTAAATATTGCCAATATCAAATTAGCACAAAAATTAGTTTTGCGATAATTGTTGACAATTGATTTTTTTTCAATTACATAACACAAAATTTACACCTAAGTGATATTTTGCTCATAGTGACACACTTAAAACCTTTTTAGCTTTATCAACAATTTTATAATAAATAATAGATAATCATTACTACAGAAATGAAAATAATTTGGAACAGTACATACAAATAAAGTGCATTTAAATGATATATTTTACAAAATGAGGACATAGAAGACAAAAAATAATAATTTTAGACAAAAAAAGGTTGACAAATTTTAAATGAAATATATTATAAATCTAGCATAAAAAATAACAATACAATTTTTTTCAAGTAAGCCTTATTTTCTAATAGGTAAATAGTTATAGAAATCTTAACGTCATTTTAAAATTAACCCATTCTTTCGACTGCAGTGGATGCATTGGAATAACAAAATAAAACCGACATATTTTTAGACGTTCTGAAACAAGTTCAATTTGTTTTTAGTTCCTTCAAAAAATAAGCCCATTTTCTGTCCAATGAAAATTAAGAAAACTCTTCACTATTTTGACTACTAATAAAAAATTGTTTCAGTATTAAAATTTTATTAATTAAGAGGAAAATTTACATTACAAACTGAAAGACCTGCGGGGCAACGGTAGTTTAGTAGGTATAAAAATTACAACTTAAGGGTGGAGCCTAAATACTACAAAATTACTTCCGAGACTAAACAAAATCCGCATTCATTCATTCATAATTTTAACAATTGCCTGTAGATACGAGGGATACGTATTCCAAACACTAACGCGCGAAGTTAAGACAAAGGAACCGAAAAATCCTACCACGGCTGCCGACGTTCATCAGTTCTTGAGTGAGTCAGAGTTACCTAAATTAGGGGAACTAGAATCGTATTTGTTTTTCTTGGTGCATTGCGAGATATTGTTATAACGCAGATCGATTTTTTTAGAGGGTCTTATATTATTTTTATATTTTAATATAGTGAATAGGTTTAGTTAGATTAAATTAGGTACATTTAGGAGTAAAGAGTTGTGAAATATAAATACAAATAACAAAAAAATAGACGATTGGTTCGAATAAGGTAATATCAATTAATACAGGTTATTTATTAATTGAGTGCCGATACTTAAGGGTGTGAATCCTTGGGTGTTAAAGTTTTAAGAAAAAAAATTCTTATCACTCTAAATATTTTTATGAAATTTTGCCCAAAAAAAAGTGTTTCCACTCAAGGTGGGTTCCTACCAAATTTCAACAAAATATCAAAAGCAGTTTCAATAAACTGGTTTTTATTTTCTTTCGCGAAAAGGGTGCGTCGTACAAAAGTACGTCTATAAACCAAATTTGCTCCAAAATAAATAAGGATTCTAAAGATAATTTTGGGTTTTAGAAAAAACAGTGGCGTACCATATTTTGGTTCAAAAATATTCAGTTCAAACCAGGTACGGACGTCACTGGTAAAAATTTAGAAGTCTTTTACGACAAAAAGGCAGGATTGAAAGTGAAAGTTTAGTCTGTTGGTACATAATATTTATATATCTAATTTTTATTATTACACTGAATGTGACATGGCTTTTTTGTTTGCCTTTTTTGGATCAACAAAATATTATTTTAATTATTTAAAATAAACTGCCAGTAATAATAATTATCTGTACTTAAACATATACAAAGTAAAATTATAAAACGACGCATTAAGAAAGCACCAAATTATTAAACTTTTAATTTACGTAACAAGTATTAAAAGTAATTTTAAAATACCGACTTTAAAATCGTGCAGATGCCATCACCACATCTTAACCAAATTTATATGGGACCACCCCTGAGGTACCCTCTTACTAACGAAAAGAATTATAGAAATCGGACAAGGTGGTAAAGAATTATCGCTAAACATACATAAAAAATGAAAAGTTTGAGGATTTTCTCATGGACCCAATTATTAGATTTTGACCAAATTTATATGGGACCACCCCCTTTCCAGCAAAAAAGAATCATTTAAATCGGACATTATGTTAAAGAATTATCGCTGAACATACATAAAAAAAATATATATACAGACGAATTGAGAACCTCCTCTTTTTTGAAGTAGGTTAAAAAGGATATAATAATCTATATTAATTGTATTAACTAAAAAACTACTATGTGGAGTTATATATATCTTCTTAAATTAATCTTATATGTAAAAATGTGGGTTCGGTTCCTAGAAGAGTACCTAGTTCACTTTGCAGCCAAATTTATATTTATGATACAGAATTTTTTAAATAAATAAAATTTTAGGTTTAATTAAACACCAAGTTTTATCAGGAATACCATTTTCTGAAAAAAGTAACATAAAAAGCAGACTTTTTGCGAGCCACTATATATATTTTAGAGGACAATCCATATTATTTTAGATAAATAAATAAAAATTTTGTATAATGACATAAATGTGATTTATCTTTTAGAATATTATATGTTTGTCAAAGTTTACTAATTTTTTTTTAAAAAAAGAAATATTCTCCAAAATGTTTCTTAAATTTTTTAACACAGCACAAAATACATTAATCCGTTTATAGTTATCGAATTTAAACAAGACGGAGACCGGACATCGTCGAAGAGAAACAGCGAAATTAGTAAAGAATTTTAACTTGATTAAAAAGCGTTCTTTCTCTTTCCATTTCATATAGAAACTAATAGACCTTTTTAAAATCGGTATTCGGTGACTTTTCTTGTTTTATTGCTTTGAAAATAATATGATTTACATACAAAACAAAAACTGACTTATTATTTTTGTGAAATAAAAATATGTTATTTTTACAATTTTCGACTACTCTTTGTTTCCAAAAAAGAAATACGATGTTGTCAAGCAAGTTCTTCTGTAGATATTAACACATTCTTTAATTGGCTCTTTATTTTTTTTTTTTAATATTCTTTAGTATTTTCATAATTTGGGAAAAAGTATAGCATTGAAACTTCTATACCTGAAAAATTGTGAGTACGCTTTTAATTAATTGTCTGTTTTTTATCTCACAATGTCTCGATAAGAAGTTAAATAGAAAAAGTTAGTATTCAATATCATCCAGACAAAAAACAAAAACATGTTTAAATGAATATATTAAATAAATTATGAGTATTCTTTAACAGAGACATATTTATTTGTATTATGGAAATAATGTTTATGTCAACAAACTTATGTTCGATATTTGTATCAATTTGTAAAGATAGACTTGCAGATATAACAGTTCGAAATTCTTTTTATTGACCATAATACTTTTTTTGGAATGAAAGCATTAGTTCCGGTTTTTCATTTAAGCTCCATAAATCAATTAATATTTTAATCTGAACGCTACTTAAGCGCAGTAAAGTTGCAACAACTAAACAATATAGTGCACTTTTCTAAAATTTCTAAGTTAAAATGAAAATCAATTTATATTTAAAATTAAATAAGTTAACTAAAATTTTTGACCCTTATGAAGTTAATAAAGTTATAAATAACGTCGTTACAAAGATTTTGTTAATTTTCAATTTCTATTGATGATAGTTACTCATCTACATATTGCAATATCAATACATGACTTGGCTTTGACACAAAACTTCTAATCCGAATCAAAATCTTAAAACTATTATTTGGGAAGTTAAAGCGTGGTCCACTAGTTGGTGTAGCCTTTTAAAACATTTGGTATAATAATAATAATAATTATATATCATCAATTACCACTACCACTAGTAAAATCCTAAATTTAAAATAGTGTATTATAAAAATAAGACATTAATCATATCTTAAATGGGTCGCCTATTACCATGTTTTAGAAATAAATAAAATGTAATTCTCAAATTAATAAAAATATTCAAAATAATTTAAGATTCCTTGCGTTATGTTAATAAACATTAAACAAAATTTCTCGCGAATTATTTAGTATTCTGTCCCGTACTTCCATGTCTCTATTAGCTTCGCTGTCAATAAGTTCCGGCAAGGCATATTGCTTATAAAAAATTTTAATTTTATTTTGTATCTTTTCTTCCCAAAAGCTGTCATTATGAGATATTTTCTTCACTTTTATTCCTCCAGAAGTCCAAAAGCACAAAATGCAAAAATCCATTTGTGTTATGTGCAGATAGCCCTGAATTTGAAAATACCAATAGTTGTTCTCCTTAATGGTATTGTCCTTTTTCCAAAAAGTTATTTCTCTATTACATATTTCTTCTTCTACAGTCAGCACTTCAGCTCCATATGGACATTTTAACTCTTATCATAGAGTTGTTTTTTTTTAATTCCATCCAGACTGGCAGCAACATAATCAAATTCGAATTCAATTAAATATCCACATTTAAAAACTTTTACTTGCAAATAAATTTCCAAATCTTATTTTGTTCTGAATTTATGGTCCATGCCATATCGGGTGGCTTTAGAAATAAATAAAAGATTTTTTACAAATTTCTCCAAATTTTAAAGCAGTGACTCGTTTCCGTCTTTTATTGTGCCACAATGCACAATCAGCTTGTCACAATCGTTTTTTTTTCTCATTTATAGACATTGGCTAACTTTTTAGAAAATTTTCTCTTCCAATGTGCCTCAAAGAGTGCGACAGATCAAAGCCATGCGCGAAAACAAGAAAAAATATTTACATTACTTTAACGGATTGAAGAGATATTAACATGCTGAAATTAATAATTCACAACTCAGTATATACCTTCCAATTTCGGATATATATTCTTTTAATAAATAAATGATAAAATTAATTTAATATAATTGAGCGAAATTACTGTATGTAAAAAATAACATGAATTCAAATCACTTACGTACTGTTTATCACTAAATAGTAGAAAAAGATATATATTTTGATGGTGTCACCCTCTAGACAAAAAAGCTTTTAACGTATTTCTATTTTTATTGTAATAAAAATAAATGCTTTTGTAGGCAAAAATTAAATATATTGTTCTCTTCTAGCATTTTTTAACATTTCTATTTCTTTTTGTCTCTTTTCTTAGATTTTTTTCAAAAGAGACTGATTCATATTTTTAAAGTGACTCCAGAGAGGTATGGGTTAAGCCTTTACCTGTACTTACATAAAATTTCTTTTAGTAAAATTAAAAAATAATCCGTAAAATTGGTGTACTATGAAACCCTTGCATATAATAATATATACCAATCTTAGTATTACAGAAATAAATTACGTAAAAAATAAGGTGTACAAATAGGTAAAATTTATTCATCCCTCGTAAAACATCAGTAAAATATATTATAAAATATTTTCATTCACAAATATTAATTTCTTAAAAATCTAACAGAGGCGCCACTTTCCAGACGAAAAATCTTGCAATGTAAGGGTTTCGTAGTACCCCACTTTTAAAGGTTATTTTTGACTATTTTTTTTGACTAGTTTTAAAAAGTATGTACGTGTAGGTAAAGGTTAAATATATGCTCCTCTAGAACCACTTTTTCAAAATTCAATTTGGTTTTTTCTAAAAAAAATTGAGAAAATGGGTAAAAAAAGTTGAGTTTTGTATTTTTTTTTTAGAAAAAACAGTTTCAAATTTTAAAAAAAGTGTCTCCAGAGGAGCATAGATTTATCCTTTACCTACACATACATATTTTTTCTTTTACAATAAGTCAAAAATAAACTTTAAAAGTGGGGTACTAGGAAACCCTTGCATGCTCCGCTCTACAGCCAAGTAAATACTCCTCTTAATTCACTGTATTTCTGTATTGCCCAACAGTACCTACTGAAAATATTTAAACTCTACTCCATAACTTATTTTACCCCTTTTTCATATCTGGTGGCATGTTATGAGGAGACAGTATGAATAATGAAATAATTTTTAATTATGTAGGTATACAATGGATAACTGACCGATCATTTATTTATTTATTTTTATTTATTTATTTATAATACAATACTCTACAGGTCATAAACCCAATTACAGAGCAGGAATTGACATAATATAATTATTAATAGATCACATTTTTTATATGAATGTTAAGCACATAAAAAGAACTTGAACTCATTTGAAAGTTGGTCAAAAAACCCTACATTAAATAATAGATTTTTAGGAAAAATTGTAGTTTGGGTGAGTACTAAAACGTATGTCTACACTGTGTTATGTGAGACTTTGCATATCAATTTAAGCTCTGTCCAGGCCGTTAAAGACTATGCTGGTCAGCATAGCCAGATATGGGCGAGGGTATGGGTTAATATTTACTGCGAGAAGTCGTTGCTTCATCTTTACTACCCGCCCAAACTACAAATCTACCCATTTTTATACTATGACTGCAATTTAAAGTCAAATTCCGTTGTTTTAAGCAATTTTGAGCCACTGCTATACTTGTTTGCAAAGGATTCCATATCGACGCGGCAGTCAACGTGTTAAAAGATATGAATAATCAATGTAAATAATAATTAAATAATTAGGTACATACAAAAAGTTTTAATATTAAAAAGGTAAACAAACAAGATTAATTTTGTATAAAAATAAAAGTTAGAGATTATAAAAACAAGCCAAACTGAGTGTAAAAAACTCATTTCTTATAATTAATATGAAACACATAGCCGGATCATAAGGATTTTTATGCAAATTAAAACGATACACTTACCTTAGAATTTTCGTAACCGTCTGGGTTCATGCTGGGCATCAAAAAGATATCAGTACTATTAACCAATTTAGTAACCCTCTCGTTAGTACCATAATTATGGATCAAATAAAGCGCTAAATAAAGCATCAATTGCCTTCCGATAGCTTCATCCCCATGCATATTGGCAACATATTTGAACATGGGAGTGAGCAGTGTTCGATTCTGAACGTTCGAATTGATTTCCAGCACCCATAGATCCCTGTTTTTCACCGATTTTCCAACAGATGTAAGTTTGACGAGTTGCGGATGTTCCGATTGCAACTTTCGAAACAAATTAGTGACTTCATCGTAGTCTTGATATCGAGGGTTTTCTAAAAAATTCTCGTATTCCGCGTAAGGGATACTTAATGGTTCACTTAAATTTAATATCACACACAAAAAAAATATTGCATACATTTTGGCTTAAAGTTTAGTTATTGAATTATCATGTTTTTGTGAATTTTTGCTGTACGGTTTTTCCACAAAAGCAATACGTCAAGATATACACAAAGATAATCAAATCAAACTGTAAATTCCCACTCTCCACTAGCTTTTAAAGGTCAAACGTCAGTGTCATTGTTGTGTCAATTTCGGATATAAGTAGGAAATTGGAAGCGACGTTGCCAGTGCTACGAACAAAAAATGTTTTGTGGATTTTTACACATACCAAAAATTTCAATATTTTTTGTTAGAGATACTGAATCATTATGATTTGGAGTCCATAATAAAAAGTAGTAAATTGCGTTTGCTCAAAAAAATTTATAAAAAATATTGTTCACCTTATTTTTTTTTAATTTTACAGAGCCAAATAGTATTTTAAATTTTATTGTATTTATTTTCATGTAACTAATGTTAGTGCTGGTTAAATAACTTGTATAAGTTGAGACCAATAAAGAAAAAAAAATGTCTCATTTATTTTTTATTGAACCAAATTATAATGTATATGCAATAAAAATTTAATCTTCAAAAATCTATACCATAGATTTAATCAAACAGGTCCTTTGATTCTCAGGGGAGGTTAGATATATGCTTATTAAAAATAGTCCGTATCCATGGCCAACCGTTCAAAAAATTTCCAAAGAGGCAAGTCTTACAGGCAGGGTCAAAACACCGCAGGCTGTAGTTGAAAACATCCAAAATCACAAATCCAGGGAAGGGCAGAGGCCCGCTTTAACGTAGTTAACACTATGTAGCGCTTTCATCGATATCAAACAACGCAGCGGGAAATTTAAAAAACCTGATAATAAAGGTTGTATAAATATCGGCTGCACTCTCACGTTCTGGTAATTAAATTTAAAAGTAATTACGCTAAATTATTTATTAAAAAGAATACTACCCTTACAGTCTATTATCGATTAATTATTAAAAATCTATCCATTTGTAACATTAACATTTTTGTTCTTATTTTCCAAACAAATGGCCAATTATGTCTTACTTAAAAATGTTGAGTCCAAACTCAATAATGGGAATTCAGATATTTTTCTTCATATATCAAATCTTCGTTCTAACGTTTTGAAGTCATTTTCTTGTTCTAAAACAATAAAATATTAAATAAATATTTATTTTGCGACAAAATTTGGCTACTATTTGTATTACTTGACTAGATTTTACTTTGATTCATTAAAGAACGCCTAATTGACATTTATATTTACAAACTGTCCACTGCTGTCCACGTCTGCTGTCTGTCTACAAACGACGTGTATCTTTAGTTAACATCTGAGATGCATAGATGGCGCCATCGTTGCTGCGGTCGTTGCGTTTCCTATCTTTATGTCCCTAATCTCTAAGGGTAAGTTCGATTTGGAACTCAACGGATAGCATGCAGAGCGCGCACGGAGTGCGTGACGTCATAGATAGAGTTCACTCTTTTTACAATCTTAAGACGAACACAAGACAATTGACACTAGTGATAGTTGGCACTTGGATACACTTTTGTGTGTGTGTATGGACTGTAAACAATTAATTTTATTTAGAATATTGACGTTTGACACAGTCCTCCAGATACCCGTGGGTTGATCTCCACCGGCCAACTCGGGGAAGAGTGAGCGCGCTCTGAGTACGTGATCTGTGGCAAGGAGAATACAAAAGAATACGCTCTGAGTACCAAAATGACCACAATTGAGGCATACCGAGTGCACTCTAAGTACAGTGAACGCCAAACCGAACTCAGCCTGAGTTACAATAATAATTGTGTTGACAGGATGAGCATTTTTAAAATAAAAATTATGTTTACAAGTCGGCAAATTTCGATTAAAACTGGTATCTGAGAATTTAAGAAGTCAAAGATCCTAAATAAGTTTTTAAAAATTCAAAATGGCGCTGAAAGGAATCGTATTTAATCACAAAAGGTCCCACTTGAATGGAAATAATAAAAATCGTCCTTTTGATTTGTGTAACCATTTTAAAAGCAGCCAATAATTATTGTTCAATAACAGTGATCGTGACGAAGAATGCCGAGTGGATGCGAAGGGAGAATTTTGGTTTGGTGGTTTATATTTTAAATTATTAAAATTTAAATGCTTAGGAGTTCCCTGCTTTTATAATTTCTATATCGAGGGAAGTTCTAGGTAAAATACTTTACCGATTTTTAATAATGAATCTTTTCATACGCAGACAAAATTACTACAAAAAGGGGGTTGAATACTCTCTCTTAGACTATCCAATAATTGTTCATGGGTTCCTGTTTTTCTTTTATTTATTAAACTAAAATCATCATTCCTTTAGGATTTATTTTATATTTACCCTATTCTCTAGTTTCATAATTTTCTTGTAGTCTTTCGCAGCTTTTATTTAAATACGGCAACGCCGATTTTAAAATTATTGTCTCTAGTCAGTCAAAATGTTATTTTGTATTATGCAACATAGTATACTGATTTACGTATAAAGAGATGCATACCTTACTGTAACATTTAATTTGAAATTTCCAATTTAAACAAATTTCAAATTTTGCAAAGTTGGTTGCATACAAATCAACTGCGAATGCTGCATCCATTCCAGATTCTAGATTTTCTCAAGGATATTTTCTTAGCCCCATAAATCGATATCTACTACATTTCATTCATTTTCCTCCCGTTGTGGGGTAGAAAGCTCTATTCATGAAATTGTGTAGGTCAAGTTTAAAAAAATTCAAGGTAAGTCTGCATTTTATTAGAGGTCAGGATTTTTTTGAAATTAAATTTTGCGAAAAAACGTTTAAATATACGATATGTTAACTTTATATGAAGAGTAAAATTAAATAATTGAATATTTTTATATCAAAAAGTAAAAAAACGAACATTAATTATTATTGTAGATATTAGTATCATTATTTTTTTCTTCTCTTCTTATCTTGTAAGGAATCCGTTATATTTTTAAATTTGTTTTTTATGTTTTATTAATATATAGAGTCGATTTCTGAATAATACACTTAAATGATTTCTATTTTAACAGTATTAATGAAACAATATTTCTAAAAGGAATTTTAAAGTTTCTTCGTTTCTTGCTTCTTGATTTTAACATTTTTAAAATAAAATGTAATATATTTCTATAAATCAGTGTCATTTGATATTATACAATTAAAAATAATTGTAGTCACCCATGAAGTCATGTACTTTACCTATTGAAACAAGCTTTTAGGTACTCTCTAGGAAAAATGTGATGCAGCTATAAGTTTGATTCTTTGTAAACTAAATTTATTAAGACTAAATCAACTTGGAAATTTCTTTTTTTAACGGTATACGCAAGAAATTCAACAAAAAATCCAAGTAGTAATTTTAGACAGAATACCACAATGAGTCAAAATTATTTAAATTATCTTGTAGCTAGCGTATTATAGTACTCATTTATAATATTGAAAGGGCTAAACATGTTATGAGCAAACTATAATCTTTCATAAAAATTAAACTAAGTATGGTGTAGATCAGAACTATTTTATATTATTTCACAATTGTATTGATTTGAAGTAATATTAAGGGGGAAGTTAGACAGATAAATGCCACCTATCACGTTGTTTCAAAGTTAGATGTCATACGAAAACTTATTATCTGTAGTAATATGGAACAATTGTGTAATTATAGAATATTTCTGAGTAATTCTTGAATCATAAATCTGGAAGGAAGATGACAGCGGTAATAATATTTCTTAATTTAGTTTATTACTGAGGCCCTTCCTATGGGGCCTCAGTATTGCATTCGTGCAGACAAAAAAAATTCTGATCCCCATTTTTTAAAACTTTTTTTTATGTTTCTAATCATTCTGAGTCCGAAATTGCAAAAAAAATTTCACAATAAATAATGCACTGTTGTCACTTTTTGCATTGATTCCTTAGAGTTACATATAAGTAACGTTAGCCGTTGAAGGGTTAAGTAAAAAGAGTCCAAATATTTTACATCTGTAATATTAGGAGATATTGGGGTCTATTCTGTAACAATTCCTTTATATTTAACGGCCTTTAAAAATATTGGCGGCCTTTAAAAGTATATTTGTATTCGTTAATTTCTTTAAGATAGTCCTCTAATGTATTTTAAAGATCCGTTTAAATAGTGACCGAATTAAAGAAGACCTTTAAAAATATTTTCGTATTCGTTAATTTACTTCTGTCATTACTTAAACAGATTTCTTTAAGATAGTCCTCTAATGTATTTTAAAGATCCGTTTAAATAATGACAGAAGTAAAGAAGAAAATATTTTTAAAGGCCGTTAAATATAAAGGAATTGTTATTTACATGGAAAGGTGTATAATTGGTAAAGATACTAAATGTTTTGATATGTGCACGATCAGTGGCGTAGCCACGAGGTGGGGGGGTGGTCAGAACCCCCCATGGAAGGTTCTCGCGTCACCATTTATGCTATAATATTAATTAAACACATTTTTACAATACAGACATCTGTCATGTGTCAACCCCCTTCCTTCTACTTCTCCAACCCCTTAATTTTAAAAAGGTAATGTACCATGTATGGCACATCATTGAAAAGGTAATTTAATGGAAAAATCAGAAATATTTCTGTATATTGCGTTACTTAAATTTTATTGCCCTTTAGCGCGATAAAAAACTACTACGTGTTATAGAGTGGGACAGTACAATGTGTAGTACATCATTAAAAAGATAATTTTATAGGGAATTTAGAAATATGACTGTTCATTGCGATACTTTTAATTGTACCGCCCTCTATCGGGATAAAAAAACTGTACGTATTATAAAGTGTGACACCTTATTTAAAAGCAAATTTAATAACTAATTCAATGCACCACATAACATTAATATAAATATCCTCCATATTGCACTTGCAATAGTTTGAAAAATATTAATGCATTATTTTAAACATTATTGCTAACTTTATTTTGTTGCAAGTGCAATATGGAAATATTTATATTAATGTTATGTGGTGCATTGAATTATTAATTAAATTAGCTTTCAAATGAAGTGTCGCACTTTATAATACATTACAGGTGTTTTATCCCGATAGAGGGCGCTAAAATTAAAAATATCGCAATAAACTGTCATATTTCTGACTTCCCCATAAAATTACCTTTTCAATGATGTGCCGTACATGATACATTCCTTATTTAAAATTACGGGATTGGAGACGTAGAAGGAAGGGGGTTGACACATGACAGATGTCTGTATTGTAAAAATGTGTTTAATTGGGAATAAAAATCGACATGTTTTAGCATTATCTAAAAATTCAATGATTAATGCCGAAAAACAGGATGAAACTATTTTGAGTGACCCACTCTGTATATCAAAAATGGCTAGATTTATCGAATTAGTTTATAGAAGAAAATCTGCTTAAAAATGCATTTTTTACAAGATGCTTTATATAAGAAAGATCCTCTCATCGAAAAAATATATTGAGCGCAGCGCCATATACCTATTGACCTATTTAAAATTAATTTATATCTAAAACTGAAGCTATCTTAACGCTCTATGAACTGGATTTTACAGAATTAAAATATCTCTATTACTTACCAAAATATCCGGCCTGGGAGTTTTTATTGGTACACCCTGTATATTATTAAACACAAAATCACATTTTACCAATTACCTTTTTAAGTTCAAGTACAGTGTTATTTGAATTCTGAAACATACTATTAATTTTTTTTTATGGTCAGTTATGTTCTTCGTCTTTTTATATCTTATTTGATTCCGAAATGGAAATTTTTCTAAATTATTAATAGAAATTATCGCGGATTGGATTCTTCTTCTGTGGTTATTAAGGAAACCGGAAAAATGCATATATCATTTTGGTTTTTTGAGGTTTTTACAACCACCGCACTCAGATGTATTTTACCTATATAAATTAATCGTAATTTATATTCAAGATGTAGTACAAAATTAGGCATAAACGTATATGCATAGAATATTTAAGTGTATTATTTAGTTTTTTATCATAATCATAATAGGAATATTTTATTTTTACAGTAAATCGAATATAGAATCATGAAGGTAAGTTCCTTATTGTTACATTCTTATACTACTGTTATTAATAAATATTGTTTTTTTGGAAAAAAAGTTAAAATATATTATGTTCAATAAATATATAGGGTGGGCCGCCGGTAACGTCTCGGTCTGTAGAGCCAAAAATGTATGATTTTTATGTTTTCACAGAAAGATGTATATCAGAAAGGCAACAATTTAAAAATAATTTCAATTATACAGGGTTCTCCATCTCCAAGAAAGTGATACATATATCAATCAAAGTTAGGTTTTTTAAATGGAACACCCTGTATTTTATTTTATAATTGAATTGCCTTCATTTTTCCCATTATAACAATACAAAATAGTATGAGATTATACAGAGTGTTTCACCCGCTGTAATCAGTTTTATATAAAAATCGTATTAATTTCAATGACCTGTATAGTGCAAAAGAAACAATTGAAAACAAATTTTTTTGCGGTAACAGATTCTCGATATTAGTCAAAATTAGAAACAAATTTATACAGGGTGAATCAAAACTCAAATACATCCTTTTCTCAGTCTTTTTAAATTTAATTAAAGTTTAATTTGAGTCAAGCATTCCCTATACCTAAAGTTAATTTTTAAATTTAAAAGAGGAAAAAAATAATTCACAAAATAGTTTAATTGTAACTGGCCACTGGTTAACAGGAAATAGACTGTTTATTAATTATTATTTCGAATTTAACCAGCTGTAATTTAATATCGACTAAAAGAGTTTTTATAATTTCTAATAGATTCACTCCATTATAATACCTACTTTATTTTAAGTTTGTTATATTTTTAAGTTGACTTTGAAACCTCAATACTGGTAGTTCATTATTACTAACGTCATTAGTGTTGCAATATTTATTTTTAAAAAAGTCTAGACAGTTTTTTAATATGACTTTTAATCGTGAATAAGAGAAGTATTTCGAGTGATACTTAAAAAATGCTTAGCAATGTGAGTTGGAACTTTAAAAACCAACTTAAGACCTCTATAAATATTACTGAAGGCTACTTAGATAAATTTTTCTAATGAAATAAAATATGTCAAAATAATACTAAATAAACTTAGAATAAAGTAGGTATTATGTGAAGTTTTCGGTTATTTTTATTTAATTTTTTACTGAATGTAAAAGTCGCATTAGGTATTATCAAAACCTTATTAAGGGTCGGTCTTTTCACCTTCAGATAAAGTTCCAGATAACTAACTGATGGATATATTATCTGAGAGTTACTATCTGTCAGATAATTAATTTTCTGTTTTTTCAAGTAAATAATATGTATGGTATGTATCCAGTAGTTTTTAACCTTATGTGGTTATGTAGTTACCTGTTTACCCATCAGTGAAGTATTTTATCAGGAATTTCATAACTAAGTTAAGTTATCATTCAGGAGTTAGGTTTATCCAGAAGTGAAAAGATTACTTTTTAAGTTGCTTGGCAGATAAAAATTACCTGGCACTTTATCTGAAGGTGAAAAGACCGACCCTTAGTCGATAATAAATATAGCTGGTTAAATTCTAATTACCAATTAACCAGTGACCAGTTAAAATTAGAGTATTTTGAAAATATTCTTTTTTCTCATTTAAATTTGAAAATCTCTCAAAATGATTAACTTTAGGTATAGGAAATGTTTAACTCAAATTAAACTTTGATTAAGCTACTTTTAATTGTTAATACAAGGTTGCCTATTTAAAAAAAAACTGAAAAAATGTTGTATTTGAGTTTTGACTCACCCTGTACAAATTTGTTTCTAATTAAAAAAAGTACTACATCGGCATAATGTTGACTAGTATCGAAAACTTTTGCACTATATACAGGGTGGCCCAAAATTCCGTATATATGTTGTACTTTTTTTAATTAGAAACAAATTTGTACAGGGCGAGTAAAAACTCAAATACATTAATGTGTGTTGGTGAGATCAAAATAAGTCGATTGAGCCAAAATTAACTATATCACAAAGTGCTTCGTCCGATGTTTATAAAATTTAGTATGTAGCTATTTTAATTACTTTGTGATATAGGTAATTTTGGCTCAATTGACTTATTTTCATCCCACCAACATACAGTAGTTCTATGTAATTTTGGGATACCCTGTATAAAGGTAATTAAAATCAATACGATTTTCATATAAAGCTGGTTATAGCTTGTGGAACACTCTGTATAATCTCATAAAACTTTTCTGACAAAATTAAATTAGATCCTAAATATAAAGAAAAAGCAAGACGCATTCCGAACTCCTTTTTTATTTTAAATATAGAACCAACAGAAGTCAGAGACATAATTAACAATTTAAAAGATAATAAAGCAGTAGGTTGTGACTTGGTTGTGACGGTATCAAAGCTGAAGAAATAAAACTATTAGTTCCGTATATATTGGAGCCATTAACATATGTTTTAAACAAGTGTATTGAAGTGGGCTGCTTTCCTTCAATTTTCAAAACTGCATTAGTTGTACCGATATTTAAGAAAGGTGAAAAAACGGACGTAAACAACTACAGACCTGTATCGTTAGTCACTCATATGTCAAAAATCTTTGAACTAGTACTAAAGGAAAAATTAATAAAATTTTTAAATAAATACGTCAACTGAGGACGCCATATTATCCTTGACCACAAAAGTTACTGAAGCGCTCAATGAAAGCAAACCCTCTTTAAGTATTTTTATTGATTTAAAAAAAGCATTTGACACTGTAAGTCATCATCTACTTTGTCAGTCTCTTGAGGATATTCGTATTAGAGGTACTTGTCTACAACTGTTCTCTAGTTACCTCACCGGAAGGTCTCAAAAAGTCAAAGTGGGCGAAGCAATCAGCAGGAAGAAAGAAATAGAGTATGGAGTTCCGCAAGGCTCTTTCTTAGGACCCATACTCTTTAACATATATAGAAATGGATTATTCCAATTGAAAACTAAGGGCAAAATTATTGGATTCGCAGATGACACAGCCATCTTTTATAAAGATGATTGGCAACGTCTAAAATTAATAGCAGAGTCTGATTTTCGCTTAAATCGGAAGTACAGTAACAACAAAAAAGTTTCCGTTTTAAAAATATTTGCTATTCCAACCCTGTATATTTATCGTGGGGCTCTTTGAGTTCATTGGTAACCTTTCAATAATAATTAGTGAACAGCCCCGTACCTATACATTATATTTAATAAATAAATAAAACTCAGAAGTGACAATAACAAAGAATCATCATGATCTCAATAACCTTTAACATTGAAAATTAATGTTTTCCATTTAATTTATTTTAATGTGTCATTTAATTGCGAATACTAAATGTACGACGAAGTACAAAGTTTAGTCTTTTTTCTCATCTACAGGTAATTTATGACTAAATACTAATGAATTCACTAATTAATTCATTTTTGCACAATGGAATTTTATTAGGATTGAGTCCGTGATGGTATACCCACCTACAAAATTTAAAATCTTGGATCTTGGTCAATGTCAGATGAGATGCATTAACAAAACAAATAAACAACCCATTTAAGGTCGATTTAGACATACAGAAAGATGTTAATAATTCGAAAATATTTCAAAACTAGAATTGGTTTCGAAATACATATTTTCATGTATTTCTTAGTATACTTTGAATTGTTTTTATTGTATTATACATGGTGTTTCAGAATAAATTACCGACTTGTAGATCCTAAATATAATTTTTCTGTATACGCCCCACTTTTTATTCTACATTCTACAGAGTGATAAAGTGAATTTCATAAATACATAATTTTCCCTTACGGTAAAGAATTTGACTTAAAAATATGTACATGTCTGTTAATCTCCATTATTATTATTTAAGACGCTCTATTTCGATAAATTACGATAACTCATTGGCGTAGAAACAGGGACTAAGAAAACAATTTTCATCCGAACTTTTTGAACACCCTATATTTCATAAAACTTAAGAGCAATAACTATTCCTCGCGCAATATATCACAAAAAAGTGACTCTTGGCTTCCAAGATTGTTTAGTTTTAGAATAAAAAATACAGGCCCGTATTCAAGAAAATATACTTGATGGCGGCCCTCCAGAAACGAAACGTTATATAAAAAATCTGTCTACGGTAAATTAAGCGCTACTTAATACCAAATAAAAAATCTAATTACAATTTTTTTCTAATTTGTAAAATAAAGGCAATACAATCGAAAATAGAGTCATTTGGTTTTCCTTAAATATCTTGGAAACCGGTCCTGATGTTCTCGGTTTTAAAACATCATTAAATTAGTCTTGCAATAGTACAACTTTTTTCCCATTTAACCGACTTTTACGGTTTTTGACACAAGTGTAAATTAAAAATTTAAAAAAACCGACTTCAAAAACGTGCAGATGCCATTACAACATCTTAACCAAATTTATATGGGATCACCCCTGAGGTACCCCCTTTCTAACAAAAAAGGAATCATATAAATCGGACAAGGTAGTAAAGCATTATCGCTAAACATACATAAAAAAATGAAGAGTTTGAGGATTTTCTCATGGACCCAATTTTTAGATTTTGACCAAATTTATATTTTTAAGTTAAAAATAAAAATATTTAGAAAATTATGTATTCATGAAATTCAATTTATTACCCTGCAGAATGAAAACTGGGACGTGTAAGCAGGGCCGCCGAGAGCCGTGTGGGGCCTCGGGGCATTTTTATAAAAAATCAAGTCCTTCTATGTTACATTTCTAAAAAAAAGGTCCTCAGATAAAATGTCCTCAGCTAAAGCTGCCTAGCCCCGGGAATTTGTCCCTCCTGTCCCCCCCCCCCCTCCTCTCGACGGGCCTGCGTTTAAGGACGTGTAATTATATTTAGTTTATATCTACCAGTTTACGATACTTTATTTTTAAACAACCTTGTATATAATATACCGGATGGACAGGATTTAATTGGCGTACGTATATAGAGATTTCATAAACCGCAAGATATACAATGTAGGGAAATAGTTTCATATTTTGATTAGTAATTCAATTGTATATGAAACTTTGATATTTCAAGAAAATCCGAAAAAAAAAACAAAAGTTTTTGTTATAAATGAAGTCGCCTATATCATGTCATACCAAAATTTTCATTATAACGTTTCCTATTTCCAGTACTACTTTCAAATTATTTTTTTAATAGACTTGGATTTAAAACTGTAATTTTTTGTTGACTTCGGGAGGTGGACTTCTTTTACTCTTTTCACTTCATATAACTAACTTCAGTCAATGCTAAACCATTGTAATTCAGTGATGTGAAGTTAGATATGGAGTGAAATAAATAAAAAGAAGTCCACATCCCGAACTCACTATTTATAGCTTTTGTATAGCTTTTAACTATAATTCTATGGCACCGTTATTTTTCTCCCATCTCTATAATCGGTGTCACGATTACGTGTTTTGTGAACGTGCATGAATATTTGTATAAAAATTGAAAAGATACAGCTGCATTTACTAAACCATTAATTTTTTTATTGAAAATTATTGACAAAATGAGAATAATCAATAAACAACGAACATTTTGAACATTTAAAATTTAATATCTATTTATGAAACCAGTTACGAAATGTCTCATTTTATGTAAAGCGTGAACATTTGCGGGACGAGCAAAGCAAGGTCGCGCAATATGAACGAGTTACATAACGTGTTACATGTTCTAATTTTGACTAGATTATTTATAAAATTGTGTTATGGTGAAAAAATAGAGACATCTAGGCAACCAATATTACTACTTTCTTGTATTGTTAGTTGCACATGATTATCTTCATTATTTTATTGACAAATAGAAAATCATATTCATTTATTTTCAGCGACTTATTGTAGTGTTTATATTTCTTGTAAAAGTAATTTAGATTTCAAGAAAGTGGGTGTATTGGGTTTTAATTATTTTGCGCTGATTTAGAATGAAAAATAAGGACCAAAACAACATTATTACTAGATTGTAAGTCTAATCAAATTCTATTTTGATAAGGCAACTTGCTCTTCTTTGATATACTTTCAATAAATTAGCTGAGCATGTTAAATAGGTTTAAAACTTGCTGCTGAAACATATTACTAATAAAACATTGTCTAAATAAACAACAAGCTACTTTTGTTTCATGAAATAGGTACTATGTTTATTTTATATTTATTTCTTAGTAAAGTTTATTTTTAAGCATGTTTATTAATTTAAAATCGTAAAATCACCATAATAATTTGTTACATTTGAAGATGTTTTTACCTCGTTTGAGAACACAATAATTCTTATTGAGTAATTGAATATTAGCAGATAAGTTCGATGATATTTAAATATCGAAGGTCGTCCACACGGCAGAAGATTGCAGTAATTTTTGTACCTATTAAAAGACACATCAACCTTGCATTCGAAAAGTGGGTCCATGATTTTTTGGCATCGATATTTCTTGGAATACAAACAACCCACCATACAGTGTGGAACAGCCAAATGGAATAAATTCGGTAATAAATATATCGGGACGTGTTCAAAAAAGGCTTGGAAACTTCGATTGGTATTTTTAGTTGAGCAATTTTTTTAACAAAAACTTTTTATACAGGGTGTATCATGTAACAGTGTCCAATACCAACTTTCCTATGTGTGAAATAGCAAAAGACAGAAAGATACCTACCTTTTGTTGGTTCTACAATTTTTTACATTGTGACCACGGGCGTCGTTCAAAAAATGTCCAAGGGGGCAAGTCTTATAATGCTGAGTCAAAATTCCGCAGATTATAGTCGAAAGCTATGGCTAAAAATTTAAAATCACAAATCGAGGAGGGGGCAGGCACCTTCGCTTGCCCTCGTGTGGCGGCGCCCATGATTGTGACCTGGATTTTTAACTGTGATTTTTTTTTAGCTTTCAGGTACAGAACGATACGTTATACTTTAACATTTTACTACATTTCGTTTATGAAAATATCTTCAGCTTTGTAGCCTCTTATAATACAAAGACAAAGCTTTTATTGGTCGTACAATTTTTGACATTTTTGCAGTGGGGGATGTAAAAAAATACATTTTCGTAGGTACTATTATTATACCAGCTTTGTAACTGTCTCTATGATGGTTTTTATACGGGTTGTTTATTAATTGAGTGCTGATACTTAAGGGTGTGAATCCGTGGGTGATTTTTAGAAGAAAAGTTAATATCAACATATTTCGTAAACCTCTTAATATTTGAGCTACAAGATAGAAATAAACGGTACGCCTGATTTTTTAAAATTCAATTTTAAAAATCGTACTCATCTAGTAAAACAAAATGCATATGAGTTTTCATCCGCCCATAAATAGTTATTATGGAAATTTATTATTGAGTTTCGAGAAAAGAATGTGCCTGTCAAATAACGGATTTTCCAGCAGGTTTTGAAGAAACCACTGACAGAAATTAATGCGCAACGGGAAATCTCTAGGGAGTAATGCCTGAACGTGATATGGGTATAACCCATTTTCGATGAACTTTCCAAACAAGTGCATGTGAAACATTAAATTTTGCCGCGATTTTCCTCGTGCTAGGTTCGAGGTTCTCCTCGATTTTATGTAAAATTTATTTGTCAAGTTTCGGTGTTCTTACTGTTCTGTGGTCTACTGTTAAAGTTCCGAGCTCGTGAAAACGTCTATGAATCTTAGAAAATGTTCTCGGATCGGGTAGTACGCGATTTGGATACCGCTCTTGGTATATCCACCTGGGGACCTATTTTCAAACCGTGTGAGTACTCATTTCTCTCAAGATTCTCATCAGAAATGTCATACGTCAATGTGGAAACGCTGTTTTTAAAGGCCTCGAGGATTAAAATTCTTATGAGGATATTAATTATCTCTAAATAAACCGTGAGAAACAATCAGTGAGTTCACACTGGCCCTTAGGACCCTAAAAATACTGTTTTACGTTGACGTATGACATTTCTCTCGAGAGAAATGTCATACGTCAACGTAAAACAGTATTTTTAGGGTCCTAAGGGCCAGTGTAAACTCACTGATTGTTTCTCACGGTTTATTTAGAGATAATTAATATCCTCCTAAGAATTTTAATCCTCGAGGCCTTTAAAAACAGCGTTTCCACATTGACGTATGACATTTCTGATGAGAATCTTGAGAGAAATGAGTACTCACACGGTTTGAAAATAGGTCCCCTGGCTTCGTATGCATTTCCGTCTGCAAGCCCATGAGTAAAATGCATGTCAGCTAATTTACTGTACGTAAAATTTTGCTATTTTTTGTCAGATGTCAAAAATTATGAAGCTTTACCCAACCTACTAAGTTTAATTGCATTTGCTTTAAGAGGGCATTTAATGTGCTTACCGTTTTTTCTATTCAAATATTCGTGAACGTCATTTGTGAAAGTAGAAAATTAATTTTTGTATCAAAAAAATGTTTCCACGTAACATACCCTGTAGCTCAAAAATTGAAAGGTTTACGACATATATGTTGATATTAACTAATTGATATTGATATTGTTGATATTAATTAATTAAAATCACCCAAGGATTCACACCCTTAAGTATCGGCACTCAATTAATAAACACCCTGTATATAAGACAACGGCGTAGTTAGCTATTTAAAGGGGTTCTATTTTTAAATATTCACATCATAATTTAAATTGACATATTAGATGGGTACAAAAAAAAAATAGAACATGACATACAAGTACTTATCTCAGAATATAACAAAAATTTCTTTAATTTTTTTTAGATTCAGGCATTATTAAAATGCATCCTACTGTTTGTAATATTACACGAGACACGTTCAAGTACCGTTTACATCTCAGATTATGGCATGGCGAAAATGATAGAGCTCAGCACCAAGTCGCCATATTGCTACGTCCAAACTGACAGGTGACTTATTTATTTGTTATGCTGTGTATTAGTGATGACGTCAAAAATGAGCCAAACTAAGTTGTTTATAAACTAAATATCTAGTGTCTGAACTGTATATGTTTCTAAATTAAAGTAGACAGCATTTTAATTAAATAATCAAATTATGTAATGCAATAAATAAAAGTAGGGGTTAAAGTGTCAATTTATGTAAAAATTAATGACAGAATAGTTTGACTTACTGACGTCGCACTAATGGGTATATATGGATCCAGGAAATTTCGGAACGTGACTCTGACACTTATATTCTTTCAGTATACATATATACCCACATACTTTGATAAAGTATGTGTATATACCACATTTGAATATCCACATCCAATGCATTTTGTTTATCCACATCGGACACATCTAATACATCTACATCTGCGTTTGTTTATCCGAGATGTAGGTGTCCAGATTAAATTTTTTACATCTCGATTTGAAATTAGATGTGAATGAGATGTTCGTTCCATGACAGAAAGTAGGTGTTCTGTGAAGTCGAGTTTATCGATTTAGGTATCCTTTGTTTATGCTAACGTGAACATAAAAGTGATTAGTCCGTTTAATTTTTGTTTACATTTCAAAATTAGGTTGATTTCTAGTCTCAAAACTCAAATTTAAAAAGCATAAACTTCTAACTTGTCATTATATCACGTGACCAATAAAGTCTAGAGCGTTTGTTTATTACATCTATATTTAGATCTAATCCTTTATCACGTGATAAAAAATTCACATTTCAGATGCATCCGATGTGGATATTCAAATATACCGTAACTTCACTCTGTTGAGAATTATAAAAACCATAGGCGCGCGACTTAAAATTAATACAGGAGAACGCTAATGTGGTCCTTCATTTTTTATTTTAGAGGAAAAATAAGAGATAGGCTGCTAAGTTCTGATCCGCGACGAGTCAGGAAAATGTCAGACGAATCTGTGGACAATTTGGCGAAAGTATGCAACAAAGATATCCATTCTCCCCACCAAGGTGGGTTCATCTATCCAGGAACCAAATGGTGTGGTCCAGGTAAATTTTTTATATTTTTATTCACTTTTTTAAATTAGGGAGAAGTGTTTCATTTGTATTGGCCAACTAGACGTGTTTTATGAAACAAATTCTCCAGAGTCGTAGTCAGAAAAACTTGGTTGTCGGACAGATTGATTTAATGAAATAGATTTAAAAATTACAGTTTTTTATTCAACATATTTTTTTTTTAGGAAACAAAGCTAAAAATTATACTGACCTCGGTTACCATTACAAAGAAGACACGTGTTGTCGGGAACACGATAGATGTCCTAAATCATTAGGTAAAGGAGAGTGCAGAAAGGGAATATGTAACCATTCACTCTTTACAAGGTAATAATAGCTTAATTTGAGAAGCATGTCGGCGCACATACTTTGATTTTCTTTACTATACGATGCAAGAGAGAGGTCCGACACGCCCAACATAGGGCGTGGCCATTTTGATTCCTATGCCACAGTTTATAGCTAAAGAATCAGATCGCTCACTCTGCGTCGGCACTTTTGATCTCAATGTTCCAGTTTATACACTGTTTAACTCGGATAATACATGACAACCGCCTATAATATAACAGTAGTCTTCTGCGTATCCTGAATTTGTATCCCTGGAGTGGATGTTATTTTGGAATTTTCAATTGGTCCGAGTGAGCTAACTGATTCTTTAGCAATAAACTGTGACTCCAAAAATAATATTCACTGACACCACATACTTTGATATGTGACTGACACTGACAGCAGCAAGCAAAATATCAGGTGCGTTTTAATCATCCGCTTCTGCTTCCGGAATTGTCGGTTTAGTCGTTTTAACCTGTCAGATTAAAACAAGAAAACCGACAATTCCGAAGCAGAAGCGGATGATTAAAACCACCTATTAAAAATATTGCGCCAAGATGTAGGCAACACGTAATAAGGGTTCAAAATGGCGGAGTTTTCTATCTCCTTTTAAAAGGCACTCAGAAAGCTGCGCAGTGCGACCACTCTCCGTATAGTAAAAGAAAATCAAAGTATGTGATGTCGGCGACAGATGAGCATGCGCATTGTAATGAAGTTTATTTTAATTTTTCATTTTTATTAAATATTAAACGCGATTGAAATGTTGGCCCTGGTCTAAGACAGATGCGCATCGCCGATCGACATATCGATACGCGGTGATACTGCCGTTGGTGGGGTCGCTGGTAGTGGAAGGGTTTTCGACGACTGAACGAGGTCCGAGAATGAATTAAAAATTAACTGTTAAATAATTTATTTTTCATTCGATCATAAATATAGTCGTATAGTTAATTTTTCCTACTACTGTAAATTTGCGTGGACAAATCATAAATTTAATTTTAGTTTATTTAAGGTTTCAACTGTTAAATGATTTATTTTTCATTCGATCGTAAATATAGTCGTATAGTTAATTTTTCCTAGTACTGTAAATTTCCGTGGACAAATCGTAAATTTAATTTTAGTTTATTTAAAGCTTTAACCAATAAATAATTGGTAGGAACTGTTTGGGAATTGTCTAATATTTTGATTGGTTATCTTAATAGAATTGCGACGAGACATTTTCTTTTGTTTTATCCTCCGAACCGCAAATTTTAAGAGTATTTAAATAGCATCATTCCCCTGTCTGAAGCGGCTCGTGATTACGATCACTTTATTCAGAGATAATGTGTTATCCCGGTTATTAGTTTATTTTACATCTGAAACATTCATTTGCGTAAGTCTCCGTTATTTCAAGAGAATTGAAATAGTATCATTCCCCTGTCTGAAGCGGCTCGTGGTTACGATCACTTCATTCAGAGATAATGTGCTATCCCGGTTATTAGTTTATTTTACGTCTGAAACCCTCATTTGCGAGAGTCTCCGTTATTTTAAGTGAACTTAAATAGTATCATTCCCCTATCTGAAGCGGCTCGTGATTACGATCACTTCATTCCGAGGTAATGTGCTATCCCGGTTGTTAGTTTATTTTACGTAAGACTCCGTTATTTTAAGTGAACTTAAATAGTATCATTCCCCTGTCTGAAATGGCTCGTGATTACGATCACTTCATTCAGAGATAATGCACTATCCCGGTTGTAAGTTGGTTTTACTTTCCAACCATTAGTTTGAATAAACTTCTTATAGAATCCCGGTTTCAGCCCTGGAATAAGTACTGTCCCGAACCTGTCTCCTCGCATTCTCTGCAACCGCATATGAAATTTTGCTTTGCCGAAGCATTCAATTACATTTGATTGTAAATACCGATTAGACAATTCAACAGTTAATTTTTCCTACGACCGAAAATATTATTTCCTGTAGAAAAATAATAAATTGCATTTTTAGTTTGTTTAACGATTAAACTGTTAAATAGTTAATTTTTCCTGCATCCGTAAAAATACTCTGATAGTAAATTTTTGCTAAGACCGAATTAATACTTCCTAACGAAATAGCAAGTTACATTTTTAGCTCAACAACCGAATAGACAGTTCAATAATAAACTTTTGCTGTGACCGTGATTACTACAATTATTGATTTCATTGTTTTTACGTCTGATTGAGGCTATTCGGAAGTAATTTCTGGCCGTCTTGTTTGTTTATTTTTGTTCAGGGTTTGTACATATTACCGTGAGGGTGGGCGTTGAAATACATTAATTTATTCCTTTTTTTGTTGTTGTAAATAGTTTAAAACAATACTTTACTTTATTTCCCCCTTGTATTTCAGCTAGTGATAAATTCTGTACCAGCCCAAGCAACGATTAAAGCCCGTTACTTGTGGCCTACTATTACCTGTGTTTAAGGGACCTTTGGCCCCTAGAATTTTTCATCTCCATCTGTAGCTACCCGAATACTTTCGACGCCGTTTCGAGAGTTAGTGGAGTAAACCATAACCAAAAATCTGGCGCTCGAGAACCGCCCGTAACCAGCGCCATTCGTAAGGAACCGTTTTCTCTGTGGCGAGAAAACCCCTTACAGCATTTTGATTTTAAGCGTTCGATTTTCGGCTCTACGACATGTTGCCGACATGCTCCACGAACAAAGCTAATTACGATTTTGCATTATTTTGTACTGCTTTTTCATTTATTCCTTTTTCAAATGTAATTTTTACAAATTTAATGCTTTTTGAAGTTTCTTTTCACAGTTAACTTGACCACGTATCAAACAAATGCCATTATGACATGTTTTTTTGTACTATTTAGAAGAAAATCCTGTTTTTTAACCAGTATTCATTTGTGTTTAAGATCCCACTGTGACTGTGATGCCAATTTCCGAAAATGTCTCCAAACCGCTAATACGGAAACTGCAAACACTATAGGTGCCATATTTTTTAACATCGTTCAAGTCATTTGCTTTAAAGAAAGGACACCCTGTACACAGTGGCAAAGGTAAACAAATTATTATAAACGAATTATATATTATTTTGTTTTTTTTTTAAGTTTCTTTAACAATTTTTTTTGTTTTACTTATTTTTCTTTATTTTCTATTTTTAGTTATTACTCCAATAATTTAATACCCTTTTCCGGACGTCCTGGAGAGTGCCCTTATTATTTCGAGAATTCGGATAGATACGTGGGTAGTACAGTCACAAATTATGACAGAAGGAATGCCAAAGCTCATTTTTTTAATAAGCTTCTCACGAAGCTTAAATTCCTGTGATATATTTATTTAGATAATTAAATACATTTTTTTTACTTTTTTATTTTTATTTTCATTTTCGATATCATAAAAAGATGTGTAAGAAAGCGTTTTGTTTTGGAAAAATTATTACGATCAGGGCCGGATTATCCAATAGGCTACATAGGCTATAGCCTAGGGGCCCTCGACTTTCGGGGACCCTTTACTCTCAAATAAAAAAAGTAAAACGGTATACAACATCTATTTACTATAATACGTTGACCATGATGTAATAATAACAAAAATAATAATAATAATTATCATTATTTATACTAAATCTGTCCGCGGCACGGCACGACCCGCTAATGCTAATGTCAGTTTTTATCGCGATTTAAGAGACCGACCGACGGACGCTACTGAACACTGCGCTCTGCATGTGCATCCTTGAAGAATATCCCAAAATTTTGATCCCTGGCGTCGGCGAGCTTGCGTCATTCCGTCTAGTGTCTAGTAAAATCCACACGCATTTTTTAAGGATATGTTCGTTCGAAATAGTTATTAACGTTATAAGGCCGATAAATAGCAAATAACAACCAAGGCCGTTATTTGCTGTTATCGGCCGTGTTTCGTTCAAGATTTTTCGTCATACTGCTACAAAAACAAAACACCTAATTTAAGAACAAATTTTATTAAACGTAACTCTTAAAAGATAGGTACGGAATAAAACAATTTATTCCTTATTGTAATGGATGTGGAAATTGAATTCGCAATTGGTGTTATTTGAAATCTGCAACCCGTCCCAAGGATATTTAGATTTTACAGAGGAAGATGTTACTGAAGAATGTGAACTATTTGCAGTACTTGAAGATGCAATATTCTCCGGATTATTTGGAAAAAGTTGTTTTGTTATTTTCATTCTTTTAGAAACCGATTTTTCTATGTAAGTTTCCGCCACCGTTGATGATTCCCATCCTCCCAGTTCTTTTATAATGACAGTAAGTCACCACCATTTTCTACGAGCATAGTTGCTGATGTTCTACAAAATGAATGTCCTGTATAAAGTTCGGGATTTTCAAGTTTTAAAAAGGTGGCAATTTTCTTAGGAACGCTTCCGATGGTATGTATGCCGACGACTTGCTGCACACATTTGCCATTCCTATAACCAACGAAAAATCTCTGATTTTTGAAACTAGGAGGACGCAGATTACTGTATTTCTTGTATAAACCATATGCATCAAATGGAAGTCCTGTTTTTGGGATAAGAAAATTTCTGTCTTTTTTATTCTTAGTATTTTTTAGTGATACGAGGATGTTTTTCTCTGTATCTTCGAAACTGTTAATGGTGAGAGACGTAAGTTCACTTCTCCTGCAAGCTCCTAGAATACCGAGTACTAACACGACCTTTTCCAGTAGCCAGGTATGATCATCCGCGTCCAGCAAAAATTTAAGTATATCATTTTCCGATAGAACCTTGGCTTTCTTTGGGGTATAACCTTCATTTTTGCGCCTCAGGAACAAGAATAGTTTACCGAATCTACAAACAAACATAATTTCGATGAGTATATAGTTAGTTCAATGTTGGCGGATAGTATAGTAATTTACCTTGATATGTCAATGTTTTCATATATTCTTAACGCAAGTTTCAGCATTGATATTTTTGTCCACAGTGATGTAGGAGAATACGTTTCAGACATTCCTTTTGCATAAGCTAGCAGTACTTCTTCACTTACACTATGTATGTTTTTATTCTGACGCCACTTCACGAAGTTGTCGTATTCCTGCTGATATCTTTGTTGGGTTGTACTCGGAAATAAATTTTTGGTTGCCGCAGCTGCTTCTTCCAGTACATCGGAGGGAATATCGTTTTCGAAAATTTCTTCCATCTTTGATCTTTTCCGCTCTATAATCACTCAACAAGAAACAGTACTGTCAAACTTACAATGTTTGTATAGTATATTGATGTGGTTGCTAGGCAACTTTAGATTGTTGTAGGTGGTGCGCGGCCGTTATTTTATTTAACGGCCGGCGGCCGTTAAATGCACCTTTTCAATATCAATTTCGCTCATATTATGGTAAGATAATAGTACAGTATGACGAAAAAATTAAAACGTTATAATCGTAATTTAATCACAAAAGTATTTTGTATTAAAAAACAAAATTAGTGCATAGTGTAGTGACACTGACTAAGTGACTAAAATGAGTAACTATGAACTATCCAAGTGGGGCAAAAAAACGTAAAATAGCGAAAGAAAAAGCTGTAAGGCAGGCGGAAGCTATAGAAAATGTGCCAAAAATAGACACAAGTGATAGTGATTTTGGCGATCCTACAATAATATCAGTTAACATTAACTCAAAGCGAGTCTATGAAGGCCTACAATCACGCTACGCATCTAAAAAAATATTTTTTTCCTAACTTCGAAATGGTGAGGAAGTTCGGCGAGAGTGGCTCTTATATTCTGTGTCGAAGAATTCAGTTTTCTGTTTGCCTTGCATGTTGTTTAGTAAGGATCGTGAAAAATCTTTTGTTAAAGGATTTAATGACTGGAAAAATATTATTAGAATTGAAAAGCATGAGGCTTCGCAAGAACATTTAAATAACACAAAAATATTTCTAACTCGTTCCAATACTTTAGGCAAAATAGATATAGAAATTGAAAAACAATATTTAGAGGAAAAAAACTACTAGATGCAAATTCTCCATCGTGTATTGTCTACAATTGAATCGGTCATTTTGAAAAGGGGTCACATCCACTTTTTTAACATTTTCACTTTTTGGCGATTTTATATTCAGCATGCCTAGAGGCATCAATTCAAAATGAAAATGGTTCATCTTTCAAAATTCTTACCGCTTATTCACAACACACAAAAATCAGTTCATTTTGAAAACGGGTTATCTCTCCAGGAGATAACCCCTTCTCAAAATGAATCGTGCTTTGTCCCCCACCACCAACGTTTTATTGGGTATTATGGATATTTTAGACGTGTTTAGAGACTGTTTACGTGTCGCGTGACAAAATGCCATCTAGTAGTGAAAGTAGTGAGGCAATATCTCCTCTTTTCAAACGGAAGAAAGGTGTTAAAAATTCATACAGTTATAAGCAAATTTCGATTAAAAACGCAAAAGTTACTGGAAAAAAACATTTTATTCATGTGAACAAACTCTGTAGGAGAATATGAAGACCTAATAGTTTCTTCATCTATAAGCAATAAATTCGACGTTAAACATGTTACTCACGTAGATGTAGCTAGTTTCAAACAATGGTGGCCGGATTTCTTTAAGAAGAAAGTGTTGTCTACACGAAGTCTTGGCAAACAAGTTCAAAAAGAAGACAAGGTTAATTTCACTATCAACTCCTTTTACGAGTTCAGATTTAACTCAGAAAATTTGGGTGTCATCTTTGCGAAACCATACATTAGCAGCTTTGTTGAGGAACGTTTCCTTCTTTTAAAAACTCTACAAAGAAGCATTCCGACAATAATGGTGCACGATCCTCAGAATTTTCCTGCCTATCAAGGCAAAATTCCGATAAATGTTAAGAAAATTGAGGATATAAAGAAGCTTCAGCAATTTATTCCAGATAAATACAAGGAATTTTACACAACTATCTGCGAATGGCCTACTACCTCCGCTAAAGAAACGGAGAAAAATTAAAGATCTTATTTTTTGCATTAAAATGTATTTTATACCACTTTGTTGTTTAAAATAAACAATATTTATATTCTATTTTGATTTTAAATACTTGTTCATTTTGAAAACGGGCCATCTCTTTTTCAAAAAATGTCAATTTTTAGCCTCTTTTAAAATACAAATCATGTTTTTTAATAATTCATGGTCATAAAAGTTCATGTTTAAAGCAAACAATACCTTACAAAAATTTATTTTCAAATAGTAATAAAGATTAAAGGTTTTTTATCTCTTAGTAGGAGAGCCCACTGCAAATTTCGACCGTCATCTGATAACGAAATGAAATATGCTTCAGAGGCATGTAAAAATATTGTACTTTACCAAACGGCACCTGTGCCTATCACTATCCTGAGCAAAATAGTTAAAACAATGGCACTTCCGGAGTCATAATTAGCGATAAATGTCGTCATTTGATAACGAGATAAGACTTATGCCATCGGATAGCTATTGATTAATAGAGCTTAAAAATGTACCTGTGCCACCTCTTTTCCTGAGCCAAATGCTTGGCACGGCCTATTTATTCAGTCAAAATTCTCGACAAACTTCCGTCATGTGATAACGAGTTAAAACAATATGCATTCGAATTGACATAATGTCCCATTCAGGAATATTCGCATGTGCCACGTTTTAATCTGAGCTAAGTTGCTGGCACAGCGTAATTTCTGAGACGCGCCTCACCCAACCCAAAATCACATAAGCCATGACAACGAAAATTATTTGTATTGAAAATTACAATCCTAATAATTAATTTTGAAAATATTAGTGAATTCTCGATTTGTATTCCAATTTTATATACTTTTTTACAGACTTAAAATTAAGAAGAAGGTTCTCAAATCGTCGGAATATAATTTTTTTATGTACTTTCAGCGATAATTCTATACCACAGTGGTGGTCATATATAAATTTGGCCAAGGTCTGATGATGGGATACACGAGAAAATTATCAAACTCTTTAATTTGCAAAGGCAACTGTCCGATTTAGGAGTTTGTTTTTTAAAATTACTTTTATAACTTGTTAATAATTATCAATATACAGTTTTATTATTTACCAAAATAACTTAATAGGTATTTATTTAGATAAATTTGATTACTATTTTTATCCGTCTAAACCAGTAAACTATTGTAAAATAGAATTAAATAGGTACATCATTAATTTTTATACCTGAAATATTAAATTTTATCTTTTAAACTATAATCATAGTAGGCAGTTTTTTTGACAACCTGTAAAAATGAATCACAATATTAAGTAAACAAATAAATCTTGAAATTATCAAA